TAAGATTTTGTTATTTCCGATAAAACAGAAGTAAGCCATGAAGTCACACACCAATTGAATCCAGTATATGAGAGTATTTGTCCCAAGCTTTTAAACAAATAAGTTTTTATTCCAATATCTCAATTAACAACGAAGATAAAAGCGGATAGAATTATTAAACGGTTTGCTAATAATAAAAATGCTTAGATACGCCACTGGTATACGGTAAATGGGTCTCAATGGGAATTTTGAAGCCTAAAAAGATTTTATGAAGTTTGTACATTCCTATATGTTTTTCCATAAACAAATTAATAGTAACATATTTAGAAAAAATATTATCCAATATGGCGGCCATTTTGACAGTTGACAAAAAATTGTCAATACACGATTATTATACAAAAATGTCCCAGAAATTTAAATTTACAATAAAAAAGAGGGTTTCCTTTTAAAATAAAAAAAATCTGTTATTTTCGGAAAAATCGGAAGTAAGCCATGACGTCACAGAACAATTGAATCAATCACAAGAAAGTCTTTCAAACAGAACAAAATTAATCCGATATCTCACTGAATAGCGAAGCTAAGGGGGAGTGGAACTGTAGTAGTAACCCTAACAATGTCACTGACCTATTTGACGGAACTGATACTTAAGTTGTCATAACAAGTCTCTAATAAATAAAATAACCCAACAAAAAAGACAAAATAAAAGTATATAGATTTATAAAACAAGTGAAAAAATTATTAATATTAATATTATATATTTTTATTACTTCAACTAAAAAAAAGTAGTATAATCAATACAAATCAATAATAAAAAAACATAGGTAGGTATTTACGAGAAAATGTATGAGATCTTGCATAAGCCTAATAAAATGTCATTGACGAATAGGTTAAATAATGTCAAAATAAAAACACTACTATTATATAATAATATAGAATTAAAAAGTATTAACAAAAATAATTGGTATATTTGCGATTGTAATTTATATTTTCTTCATTTTTAGTTCGAAAGAACCCATAGAAATTAATGATTAAAACTGGTTTCCTATCAATAAGTCACAAGATTGCATTTCAGCCATATACAATAATTAAAGTAAGAAATCTAATCATTTGCTAAACATTTAAGACTTAAGGGATGTTGAAGAATATCATAAAATAATAATTTATTGTTTATTTAAAACCTTTTCTGATGTCTATTATTTCCAGTATTACTGCAATTATTACAAAAATAACGGTTTTTTTCTTCTTATTATACAGCTGTCTATTTATTTTTTTGATTTAATTTCTATTTTGCTACTGAAAATTTATATAATACTCAGTTTTTGCTAGTATAATTTGTAACATAGCAACTCAGGTTGCTCATTTTATTGTTTTTAACCTATTTTTTAGTAAAAATTAAAATATATACGTGTATTTGATACGCCAAAATTACAAAATATCGCCCTAAAGTACTCGAATTATCCGCAGCTTGCGCTATTATCGCTTTTGCTTTCCCTACCATGACTTCGCACTGTTCGAATATATTGCAGCCATGTTTTAACAAGCCTTAGCTAAACGTTCTTTCGATTAACTCTGTCGTTGGTGGAAGAGCCATAAATATTTTTTAAACCACTTTGTATGTCTGGATAAAATTCACAATGTTTGGATGCTATATCATTAATGGAGAGCTCATTGTGTGTAGAAAGCTCTTTCGTACTCCAGTTTGGTATTCAGCTTCAAAATTGTCGATTCCAAATTTTTCCACTAATTTCATTTTCTAATTGGTAGTGAAAAAAGTATTGTTTTTATGCTTTCGGGATGTAACAGGCTTTAGGACAAACAGAGTCTTCGGAAAAGCGTGATGTAAGCGGAATCCAGATATGCAATAAATATATTCAACCTATAATATTCTTCAACTATATTAGCATGAATATTATTATTTCTATATGAGATTGTTGTTCGTAAGGCATATCTTATTGATTAAGTCGCTAAAAGCCAGGGGGGGGGCAACTGCCCCCCCTTGCCCCACCCCATTACACTGCAATTACTAGGAACTGACAAAATGTATGTTTTTTATTATTTATGATGTAAATATACATTTTATGTTTTTTCTGAAGTTCAAATAATATTAGTAGGTATCTTCGGATTAAGGATTACAGCTTATATTTAAATTAAAGTTTATTAAAACATTTTATACTAGCTTTAAAATCTTGAATCTCATCCTTGTACCTACAGTTTTTCAATTTCAAAACATCCATTATTATCAAAGCGTAAATGAAAACCAAATATGTCTAACTAATTTTCCGGTTGTTATAAAAAAGTAAAATTCAATTAATTTTTATTTGAAATAAATTGCTTTTAAAGAATGTTGGTAGTATCTATCCTAATACAAAAAAAGATTAATCTTGAAGCCTACCTACTACGTCGTTAATAAAATACTCTTAGTTAATAATGAAGGTTCTTTTTATGGATGAAGATATTTAATGGGAGTTGCCAATGAGAAATATATGTTGATTCAAAAAAGAATATGTAGAATCACTAAGGTCACTGTCGAAAACATTTTCTTACCCTTCTTCTTTAAACTATGGTATAAATTAAAAACTGATTTTTTCGATTTTGATAACGATTTAGATACAGATACATTTATTTTTAATTTATCGACATATTTATCAGAAATAACAGTATTGGAAGTATTAAAAGTGTTGATTCCAATTGTCCAATTTTGTTTTGCATAAATTTTAATAAAATAAATAAGAATTTGACGTTGTTACGTTGTCTACTTTGCATTAAATTAAATTAAAGAGATGCGTTTTGTGTCTTTCAACATATTGTAATAATATCTACTCCAACTTTTAGTTGTGTTATGTGTTTATAACTTATAACCTCTATTCCTTTTTTGTGTATCCACGTGGCTATTATAACTGTAACTATTTTTATGAGATAAATTGACATAAACATAAAGATGGAAGAGATAACGAGATATTATTATTACATGTTGGTTTTATTTTATGATGCCCGTCTCCGTTATTTAGCAAATATTTCGAATGATTTGAATAATGGGGTCAATAAGTCGAGCTGGTTAACATTGCTAAACCATATTTTTGCAAAATGTTTATAAATTTCCTTCAGAATGAGATATTATATTTAATAGAAAGAACTATGAAATAATGTAGATAATAATTTTGAAATAGCTCATGGATAAGTACACTTATTATATAATTTATTTACTTACGGTCATACAAGATTTACAGTGTAGCTCAGAAAAGGGGAAATGAGTAAAAAAATTATTTTTTCACAATTAAAAAAGAAGAACTTGAAATTTTGAAAAATAGTTATTTTAAGTATCAAAAGTTGCACTCTTTTCTAAATACACGAACACGCTATTCAGATATTCTATATAGGGTAGCAAAAAGTATGGTAACAAGGTATTTTCTTTCAAACGATTGAATGTATAATAATTATGAACTTGTGGGGTGGTGAATTGGACGTCAGCGGTTAGCGTACCGCTACCATCTTGATTTTCTAAATAGTAACGTAGTAATATATCAAATAAAAACCTTATTGTTTTCTTTTTTCAAGTATACTAAAAAAGTACCACATTATTAATGTAATACAGTCCCATTAATTATCCTAAAATTCTTTGTTACCAAATTTTTTCGCTGCCCTGTATGCATAGGATCAGAAAAAAACAATAATATTGTAATAGAGTCCAATTCGTCGCTTTACAGTTTCAAACAAAATACCTTGGTTCCACCTTTTTTCCCTTTTAAATGTATCTCTTCTCTTTGATTTTGGTCCTTACTCTTTCTTCTTTTACCAGCAATCTCCTATGTTTCATTATATTTCTCAATTTTTACCTATTTCAATATTTTATTTTCTGTTCTTTACTGTCTTATTTGTTTCTTAAATTCTTCTATATTTATTTCTATTATCATCTTTTCTTGGCTTTTGTTATCCTCTTCAATTTGTTTTCTATTTATTTTAATTTTCAATTTCTTCTTCATTTTCAATTTACGTTTTTATTTTATTTTTCTGCATTTTTAATATATATTTCTTCATTGATTTATTTATCTTCAATTTCTATTTTTATCACTTCTCTTTTTCATTTCTTCTTAGCAAAGTTTATCTTTTTTAAATTTCACATTTGTTATCTTGTATATTTTCAACCTTTACTATTCTGCCAATCATGTCATCCTTAATTTCTTTGACATTTATGTAAAATTATATCACTTCTTTTTTATTATCCATTTCTTTTATCAATTTCTCCAAATAACTTTTTAAGCTTCAATTATATTCCGTTGATTTTTGTCATAATTTGAATTAAATTTTTTCTCATTTTTATTCATCTATTTTCTTCATCTTATCAATCATTTTCATCAATATTTTCATAAATTACTGTATTTTTTCATATTTTTATAATTATACTCCATTCCTTTTCAATTCTTTTTTGTTTTAAAAGATCTTGTCTTCCTCATTGTTTTATATTATTTCAAATATATTATTATTTAATTAGTTTATTTGCTCTAAATAATTTATTTTGTTCTGCATACATTTTTTAATATTCAATATAAATTTAACATGCCAATTTGACAGTTAACTATTTATAAATTTTTACAAAGGACAATTTGATCGTAAAATTTGACTTTAATTTTTCTATTTATAAATCGCGTCTTGATTTTTTTAGCCTATTCCTTTTTAGCCACCTTTATAAAATTGTAATTTTTTTAAATAATTTTAGTTTTGCAAAACTTTAATTTTAATTATTGATGTATATCGCACATTTCTTATTTCTTTTATTACATCCTTAACATTGCCGCGTGGTTAGTGGTTAGGTAACACTATCCGTAGTCGACATAGATCGTCACCCATCACTAACAAGTCCGTTGACCAACGAAGAAGGCCCAAAATCGCCTTCCTTCAGAGCATAACATCGAGTTAAAAAGGAAGAACGATATTGCCGCTAGACAGTCCAAGACATACTCGGAAGCTTCTTAGTTTATTTAATGTAGTGGGTTGTCACACATACGTATTGCACGCAGCTAGAGATGGATTTCGACAGGAAGTGGTTTATTATTTTGGTAAGATATATTTTTTTATATTTTATAAAAACTATTATCACTACCTAAAACATTGAATTAAATAATAAAAATACTTCTTATAGATATTTTTGAGGTACATACTTTTGTTTTTATTTTAACAAATTGGCCTTCATCTACTGCAGTTTTATTTTTGTTAATTAACATAATTATTATAAATTCCAATTTTATTTTCCTATTACTAAACAGTTCTATACATTTCAAATAAAAATTATTAGTGAACAAAATGCCTAAAACATTAAAAAATTTAAACATTGACATAATAAAAATCTTAAAATAAAACAATTTTTTAAATCTTTTTGATCTACATATTTTTGTTCTTCTTATGGGTCCAAGTTTACTGCAGCTCAATTTTTGTTAATTAGCATAATTATTATATTTACATATTTATATTCCTTTTTGATTGATTAAAAACATCTTTTGTTAAATGAATTTTAGATTAATATATTATATTTAATTATTTGATTAATAATGTTTTAACGTTTTGATACTTATATTTTTATTGAACATAATTGTTTTTCTTTATTGATAAAAATATGTAGATTAATAGACAATTCGCAAAAATTATTTTTAATTAAATTCATCAGATAAGAAATAAATTTTACCAAAATTAGATGGAACATTTTATTACCAATCTAACAATATGCACCATAAACCACTTAGATCGTTATTTTTTTCCTATAAAAAAAATTAAATTTAGAAACAGTGTCATAAAATTTAAATCGTAGATTTCAAAAACAAAATGTACAGGGTGATCCGTTTAAAAAATCAAACTTAATGGACACTTTCGGCTACTTTATTCAATTGTAAGTGTAAATTTGAATTTATGTCTAGTATGTTTTTTCCAAACTTCAACGTGGCCCTAGTCTATTTGTCACCCGGTATGTTATGGTTTTAGGCATTTATAATAACCTTACTTACCCTGCTTTGTAGATGTACCTTGTATATTATCGGTAGTATCTTTTTTAATATTTCAAGAATTTTATATTTTAATTTTTTTATTATGTTTCCCATTTGTAACTCGATTTTCTGTGGCAGGAAAAAATTAACTTGGAGTATTAATTAAGAGTGTAATTTTTCAATCAATGGAAAAAAATAGAAAATTAAATCTTCCTTCGGTTAAATTCGTCTTTAGGGTTCGATCGGGTTCGATCATGAAATTGGCCTTTTCTAAACCAACCTTGTATTTTGATTTAATATTTTGATTATCTGTATGAAAGAGAACGATTCTAATTTTAGAAAAAGTAGCCCGCAAAATATTAAACAGAACGTATTAACCTCGTTGTATCTAGTTAAACATCAAAACCGTTAGTGTCACTCAATTTGGACAAAAAATTTACATAACAAGGTGGTAATGCTATGTCTATTTTTTAATAACTAAATACATGTACGGTTATTTTAAACATAGCTTATTATCGTTTTTTAATTCACATGGGAATTTATATCGATGAAGAAGATGACGATGGTGATGATAAACATAGAAATTACAGAAGCACCGGTTTGTTGCTTTGGAAAATAATCGAAACAGTATTGATTACCGGTAGAAAATTGCTTTCAATCTGATTGATATTCACTGTGTATAAATCACTCATCTAGAATTATCGATTTTTTTTTTGTTTTTAAAGTTTTATTTTGAAACTGATCATTAATTTCTCAACAAAAATGTAATAAGTCAATTGAAAACAATCTCTAATAGTTTACCCATGTTTTTTATTATCATCAAAAAATCTTCTATAATAGCGTATAATGGCCACAATAGTAGAAAAGCACACTATATTTTTTCTGCTATCACAATTTTTAAAGATTCCAAAATAAAGATATTTTAACAACTTAATAAATATTACATAGATATTTGAGTAGTGTGAACAAAAAATAAGTAGTTTAAACTGAAAAATGAATAACAAATATTGTATATTTTTCATTAAATAAAATTTCTTCAGGCCTTTGATTAATGTTCTTAGAAGCTTTATCAAAAAATTATAATTTTGGTAATCAATTTTTAAATAAAAGCAGTTGCACTTTATTTTTAATAATTGTAAAATTAAATCAAGTCTTTTTATTTTATCCAGAATTTAAATAAATTTTACTTCTCTAATCTATCCTGTGATATCTGTAGTATTTTTACCGCACACAACTGTCACTTTTTCGCACTACGTTTATATTTTTACATGACTTATTTGTCTATGTAAATATCATTTAAGTAAATAAATAATTATTAATATATTCAATGAATACCCACTATCCTAAACATTACACAAATTGGTCTACCTACTAAAGTGTATTAACCCACCAAAAGTGTATTGCCTCTATCTGTTTTGAATATGCATATCTGTAATTGTAATTTTATTATTTTCACTTGTAATTAAACGAGACCTGAATCAAACATTTTTTTATCATGAATATTTTCATTAATCAAAGTCAGAGTAAAGAAAAAAACCAATTTCAATAGAAATACCGTTACGAGGTATTCCTGCTTAGATCGTTAATTTCTGTAATGATAAATCAGTAATTTGTAAAGGTTTACTTGTTCTCTTTGTAAAAACTTTACTTCTATTCTATACGAAGCGCGATTTTAACAAAATATTAAAAAACAATTTAAAACTGTGTTCTGACATTTTTAAAATGCAGTTATTTCTTTTTTACTAATTTCTATTTATAATAAAAAACAGTTGTTTTTTAATTGAAGATCCAATAGGTTGACATTTTCTGTTACAATTAATAATTGCATTAGATAACGAAATAAATCACAATGTTCACCATATATAGAAAATTGTAATGCGAATAAAATATAATACAATTATATATAATATCGAATAAAAAAACTAATAAAACCTTAGTTTATTTGTCCCCAATTACAGGATAAGGCGAAAAATTATATAATTATGGAAAATAACATTTGAATATTATAAAACGTATACATACATACAATATATTTTGACATAAATTGAATACACTGCTCACTGTTTTTATTAAAATTGTATGCACATACTAACATATAATTATGGAAATTGAATTAAACTATTTTTTATTTGTTACAGTTAGCATTGTTAATTCAAGTAAACTGTAGGCCTCAAAGGGCTGACAACATTGGACCTCCTTCATTAGCGTAAGTACCTATTTATTCAAAAATTTAATATTGCTTGCACTGGTGTTAATTTTTACTAATAATGTAACATTTTGTGTTCATTTTTTTTTCTATTACATTTTTCTAAAAGTAGGTTTTTCTTTTCTCTACTTCCTTGGTGTCGAAAGTAGTGACTCTTGTATTTGGTGTAGTTTTAGAAGATTTTAGGAGCCCTACACTTTTTCTTTAGGGGTAAGTTGCGATCTATACTAATGTACATTAATACTATTAACTAATTCTAGTAAGTAGTAGTTAATTTTCTTTTTAAAGTGCTTATAGTTGCCTTCTTTTTACAGATCGCAAAAAGAAAAAATAGAAATTAAAGAACCGAAGCATGATTTAAAAAAATTAGAAGCTAAAACTCACGAAATCATCGAAAAAATAGCGGAAATCAACAAAAAGCATGGATTGGAACCAAAAAATCAAAAATTAAACACTACTCAAAGTACATCCAGCGTTGCTCGGTCTCAAGAAGACCTCAATCTAGAAGAAACTCCACGTAGTGCGTTTCGATTTCCAACCAATCCATTCTCGAACCCCATTCTAGAGTTTTTAGAACGAGAAAAAGTTGAAAACCAACAAAATAGTGAAGAGCTACGTCCACTAACGTACTCTATTACAAATAGACAGTCACAAGACATCATTCCATCTCAAGGTTACGAAATATCTTCTACCAACCACAATGCTGAAATAACTGACGAAGATTTGGTTCCCGGTCAACAGGTTACTCGAAAAATAGTACATCAACAGACTATTTTGGTTCCAAATCCGAATTACGGTTTCCATAACCCCGCGACATACCAATATGCCCCTCCATTTCCAGCTTACTCTAATATTCCTGGTTTACCTAAACCTAATTTAGATCCTTCTAATAGCGACAAGAAATATCTAAGTAATTTAGAGAAGCAAACTATTAGTAATATCAGAAATATCATTAGTAATTCCCAAAGTCAGGCTTATCCTACGTCTTACTACAATCCTTATTCACAAGTCCAAGGTAACGGGCAGACTCAAAATACCTATGGATATATTTTACCTATTAAAAACGCTGATGGACAAGAAGCTCCCGGTTTCGTAGCCCAGATTCCCAATAATTTATATGGTTCGTACCAAATAAACAGCCCGGAAACTGGAAGACAGAACTGGAATTGGCCAGGCGCAGATTATTTTCCAATTTTTATAAAAGATCCTTTCCTACAAATGTACAACGCTATTACAACAATGGTAGAGTATGGTCCCAATGCTGGGACCCAAAACCCGTGCGGTAGTGGTAGCGGTAGTAGAAAACCATCAACTCAAAAAGCAAAAATAGAAAATCTACTTAGAGAAGGAAAAACCAACGAAAAAGACACCAAAATAAGCGTTGAACTGGATGGTACAAACCAATCTCCTCAGATATCTATAAACTCAGATCATACTAAAGGTACTTATTTAGATATAGAAAATATTGATATAGGTGCTTATGGTGACAACAGTCTCAAATTCACGCTAAACTTGAAAAAAGAAGAACGCGAAGTTAAAGAGGACATAGGAACAGGTAGAACAACTTGGGATAAAATCAAAGTCGCAGGAAAAGCAAACTCTTTAGTCCTAAACCCCACTTTTAATGCTTCTTCAAGAACCAGCAGTAAATTTTCAGACTTCCAGAAGGATCTACGGCCGATATCTATACTTAAAAACCAACTACAAGCTAAACCAAGTACTTCCACAATTATTTCTCCTCCACACAGGGATCCTTCTCACCAAACCGATGAATTTGGCGATGAAAGCGAGGAAGAAAAAAGCGAAGAAATATCCAATGATAATAACAAAAAGTTATTTAGCAGAGACAATACAGGAAGCGGTGTTTTCATCCACCGGTTGAAAGTAAGGAAAGGCGGTGTCGCCATAGCTGGTCCTGGTGGTATAGCGACAGCAGGAAGTGGAGGAACTGCTATCGTTGGACCTGGAGGGGTAGCTTACACCCAGCCTGATAGTCTCGCCATAGCAGGCTCGGGTACTAAAGTTGTAGCTGTAGATCCTACTATAAATTTGGGAGATTTAGCTAATCGTACTAGCAGCTTGTTAGGTAACAAATCTAAATTCGATACTGTTTTTCCACCGTCTAGAATAGGTAAAGTAGTTGCAGTTGGACCAGTCGTTTATTACAATAAAGGTTAGATGTTAGTTCAATGTATATAGGTGTAAGGGGATAAGACTTTTTGAGGATTCACATTACTATTTCGGTCAGTACAGGTTTCCTTTTTAAGGGTTATCTTCTGAGATTCCATTATTTTTAATTCAAATATATACTTGAATATGACCACTTTAAATTTCAGTCAACGTACAAGGCTTTATGATGTGAAATCCTGAGTTATCATCAAATATATTTAAATTGGAAAGATAAGTATTAATATGAATATTGAAGGGAATAAGATTAAAGAAGATATAAAAAGAATAAAGGAAAAAATATATACCTGTATCATTTGACAGAAATGAATGATCATAGAGAGACTAATACAGAGGTAGATAGATATTGATAAAGAAATTGATAGAGAAAATGATAAAAATAATAAAGGAGGGAGTTAATTACAAATAGACTTAGAGACAGAATGGTAAAGATAATGACAGAAGGCATGATAGAGAGAGTTAATAATAGATTCGATGATAATAATAGAGAAGGTGCTGATATTGTCTTTACTTGATATTACTTCATGTCCATATTAACTGCATTTACTTGGTTCTTTTACTTACGAGTTAAAATTTGAACCACCTACATAATTTTATTACTAACATTTTCGCATTCTTAACCAAATAAATACTTTGGCTCTGGTACAAGTATGCTAATATCTTTGTTAATAGTAAGCCTGTTGTACTAGAGTTAACTTCTGGTTCTATTTCCCCATGTACACAAATAATAGACAGCAAATATTTACAGTTTTTCATTTACAAGCACTTCCTCATTGTTTAATGCAATTATACATCCCGCTTTGTTTTATTGATCACCTGTCTTTATAATTAATTGTTTTTGTAATATTTCTTTTTTGGGTTCATCTCATGCATTTAGGTTTTCTTATAAATTCTTCAGTGATGACCGTTATAATTAAATCGCTTCTAGAAGAATGATGATTTTTTTAATTTTATTTAAAAATGAATTAATTTTAAAACGGTATTTTAAAATAGGGAATCTAAGAAGCTGATACTTGTTTTAGTTTTAGTAAATTTTTATATTATTATTTAATATATGTATAATTTTAGAGATATTATATAAAGCCTAATGAAAACCATTTTAAATCATGGCACTCTAGATAGATATGATTTTGCATATTTTACATAAATAAAGTAAATTTTCCAAATTAAGAAATAAAGTATACATGTTCCTTTTATATTTTTTGGTGAGAATGTGGTAGAATATAATATTAATCTTCAAAGAAACAATATTTAATAACAAAACAATTTAATATTAATAATAATAAAAATTTGTATAATAATAAAATGTTTTTATAAGAGTGTCATTATTTTAAATGTTATTTTTAAAACAATATGCTTAGTCTTGTAAAAGAAAATTTATTTCTAATGTAAGAACATTTGGACTGATTTATAGAATTATTAAAAATAGGTTAGGATTTTATGAAATATCTGTACTTATTTTAAAAAGCTTTAAAGATATTTGAAATTTTTACTCAAAAAAGCATTAAATGTTTGGATATATATGCTTATTAGTATAGATATTGAAATAATTTTATTCAAACAAGCTTTATTTAAAAGTAAATATATAAATTGTTTATATTATAATAGTTTTTATATATTAAATAAGTTTGTCAAATAATGTATTTGACTGAAATTGAAAAGTCTTCTTAATAAGTCTTTATTTTGGTTGATTTAACTATTACATACGTATTATATAAGTAAACTACATTTTTGTATTTTTTATAAAACACTGTTTTTTAATTAAACATAATTATTATAATTACCTAAAATATTTCTGTTGTTTCCTTTTCAACGCAAATATTTGATTGAACTTTAAAATTTTTCTTAGCAGAATCTATTTTTTCGGGAAAAACGAAATTAAATATATCTGAAATTGAATAGCGAAATATGTTGAACAATTTTAAAATTCGAAAATAAATCTCAAAAATCTCTCTACTACGAACACCAAAGGTGAAAACAAATACTTGGAGCTTTGAAAAAAAGACTTCTGCAGCCGGGGATCCTACCCAGACATCCTTATATGCTAGAAAAGTGCCCCTTCCACTAGAGACCTTCCACGAATCCACGAAGGCACTAGATATGGGAAGAGCATCACTAGTTGTGTTCGTTAATTTAACCAAGCCATTCGACACCGTTAACTATGTCCTTTTTTTTAACTAGGATAGAAGATATAAGGGTAAAAGGCACTGCACATAATCTGTTTAAAAGTTATTTAATCGATAGTTAAGAAGACAAACTATACTCGACACTAAATATGAGGTGAGAAGTAGAATGACTCCGTCAGTGTGTAAAAATATATATTTTATGAAATATTATATATCCCAGTTTGTGGTGATTCAATATCAATTGGAAATCTTCCTAAAGGACTACATAAGTATATTGGAAAAAATGGTGATTACTTTGAGTAATTGTTATAGTTATTTAGTTTTAAATCGTTTTAGAATTTTATACATTTTTGGCCCCTAGTAGGTCTTTTTTTTTAACTTACAATATTTTGCAACGTTAATGTGCCTCAAAATAAAATTGTAATTTTTTCATTGTTTAAAATTTGACGTATTTAACAAATATCATAATTTCATTCTACATACTCAAACAAAACGTTTTAACGTTAGTAATTGAAATTAGAATCTTATCCCACATATACGGAGCTGTAAATTCGTTTTGCATTAAAATTATGAATACAAGAAGGTTGATGATTTTATTAATTACAACTCAAAAAGTAATTAATAAGAAAACTATTATCTATTATAGAAATAGTTAGATGTGACTTATTATTAGGTAACCGAATTAAATGCAGAAATAGCAGACATTTAGAGCAATTTTTAAAGTTCTGACGTAGATACAGGGTATTCTTTTGAAGTGAATTAAATGTATTATATTTTGTAGTTCGTAATTCGTATGCTATGAATAATTGAAAAACTGAGCAAAATTAATTTCATATGTAACTTCATTTATCACTCTATATAAATAAATGGATATTTTTAAGAAATAGATATCTTTTTATTGTCTAAATACTCTAAGACACTGTTTAAACAAACCTGCACCTGTTCCTAACTATCTTGTAACTAACCAATACACTACTAACCTAAAAATTTACTCTTTTCGCTAAAAACCTCTTTTATTCTTTCTCCAGATTCTTCCAAAATGGTATCCGCTTTCCAAAATGGTTACCTCAACCACATCTTGGATCCCATGAGTCTGCTAGTAATTCTTTAAACACATATTTTCCTCCCAACGTACTTTTCTTTCCTCTGAAATATCCTTTTCCTCCAAATTTATTTCAAACATTTAAAGTTAAGGCACCAGAAGAAGATTTGGATAAAGAAATCAATGACATAAGCAGAAATGTTGAAAGGGCAGTGAAAGTTGAAGAAATTGAAGCAAAAAGTGACCTTCAAAACTCTCCAGTAGTAACTCAAAAACCTCCTTCCTTAGCACCTTACAGGTTCCATCCTCTGTTCAACTACATAAAAAATAAAAGCACTATCGATCAGGATAAAATCATCCACTTCCGGAATCCAAATAAGGATGAAAAAGAAGTTACAACTTTAATTTTGAAGCCCGTAGCAAGATCGATTGCTGGTGTAGATGGTAAGGCAATGGCTACTCCCGTGTCTAAGGCCATTTTACGAAAAGGTATGAGCGTAGATATACTTTTTGAACCAGATGCTATAGCTATTGCTGGACCTGGAGGAATTGCGCATGCACAAAGCGACTTAGAGATCAGCTACGAAGATGACGAAGATTACAAATAGATTTTTAAAAATTATAGCAAGGAATTGTAAATACTTTTTACACAGTTGTCAGTCTCTATAAAAAAAAACCAAAATGTTTAATATTGGTCCGAATATAAAAATGTTTGTGCCCAAATCCTTCTCAACAAATTTTAAACAAATGTCCGTCCGATGTCACGATTTTTGTTCGCACAATAAGTCAAAAACTTGACATTTTTAGCAGAAATATAGCTATATAAGGGGATGTTTAAAAAAATGGGGATTAAAACTAAAAAAAAATCATAAATCAAAAACGTAAAGCGGTATCAACATAAAATTATGCTCTTTAAGGGAAAGAAGCCCTTTTATTTTGATATACCTCTGAATAAAATGAGGGGGTTTAAAGCGGATTGAAATTAAAAAAAAATCATAAATTCTAAATGAAAAGCGAAATCAACAATGATATTTTAATAATAATTAATTTAATTTTAACCCTAGCCATTTGACCATTTGAGTCATTAGAGCTATAACGTATTTTAAATGGGAGATACCTATGAGCAGTAAGAACAGAAACCTTCTTCGTATTTTCTAAATGATTTTGACATATTGAAAACTTTCACATCGATTTTCTATTATTTAATAGTATTATATAATTTAATAAAATTATTTTGAATCGAATTTAAGATATATTTTTAATAATACATTTGTAAATATGTAAATATTTTATTTAAAAATAAAATAAAAAGTTTTTAACTGGTATTTTGTGTTTTAATATCCTCAATTCGCCATATACCTAATGGATATTCTCCAACAAATGCCATCATTAGCCCAAAATTCAAGTTATTGCATTTTATCAAACCGTGTTTTCTCAATAAATTAACTTTAATGTAAAGTTTTGTTGGTTAAATAAGTAAATTAAAAACTTTAAGAAATAACATTTCATTTCAAAATACAAAAAGTTACCAATTGACCCGAATAAAAATTAGACAAACCAAAGACAATTATATTACATTAAATTAGAGCAAGCATTTATATATTCTTCTCACGAATGTTTTATTTGGTGATTACCTATCAAAATCATCTGCTTAAAAATATATACAGTGGCATAAAAAGTACCTACAGTTTCACAATAATTATTTGTTGTATTGTAGTAAATTATTTATGGACATTAATACTGCACAAAAATATTTAAACATACATACAGTTGCAGTTCATAATACACTACGGCGCACTAACTTTCTTTAGATCAATTGCAAGGAAAGAAAACAGGGAAGACGTAATTTATTCTTCATTATAAATCATTATACTAGACTATAAAGGCATTTTCAAGACTAAATTATAAAATAGTTTCAAAAATACAGGTGATAAATATTAAATTTGATGGTAGGACATAGGCTTAAAACAAATAAAGTATTTATTGAGAACATCTCATTGGGTAAAGTTAAAATCGGTAAATGTTTAGGTTTTCTATCGTCTCTAGAAAATATTTTAAAAAGATTAGAATGTAAGACACATAGTAGACCCTCCAAATGATTATTATCCAGTAAATGAATGCGCACTGTTGGTAAAGAAGCAAAAATCACCCATGTGCAGAACAGGAAATATGACATGAGTACATACTCGAAGATACAGTATCTGACGAAGATACATTATCTAACTGCCTGCGTTACCAAAATAAACCACATCTGCACAATTGATAAAAAAGGATTGGAATATTCAAGTTACTGGTTTTGACACATTGTAGAGAAATTTTTAAGTTTTTAATTAGGAAATACTCAATAAAAGGGGAGAAAATAAAAAAATTAAAATAATTAATATTCCTTTTTTACTTTTTTAGATCAGGAGACAAAATTACATTACTTCCGTTTTACGGCGGGGCAAAAGGCCAATCTTTGCAGATTATCGAAAAACCAGACGGGTCCGTCATCACAACCATTATAAACACCCCCCACCAAATAGAAGATACCAACTTCGAAAACAACATCAATCCTACGGAATTAGAAAACCCCCCACTGCCCACCAAATTCGACACCGAAGATTTTTCAGACAATTTGAGAAGGATCCAAGGGCTGGCCGTTAGGATTATTAAATTACAAGAAGTACTAAAAGAAACTGGAAAATTAACTTCTTCCGAGGAAGTAGCTTATAAAGAAAATCTAGAAACTTTAAGCCAATCGGCTCAAAAATTGGCAAACATTCAAGAAGGTAGTAACCCGATTTCCATCGAAAATAGAGAAGGACTCAGCGCCTGGATAGAAAACAGAAAATCGTCACCAGGCAAAACGAAAACCAAAAAGAAAGAAGGAGAAGACCAAAAGAAAAAAGAAGACGATAAAAAACGTAAGGCGGAAGAACAAAAGAAAAAAGATGAGGAAAAACGAAAGGAAGAAAATAGAAAGCAGGAAGAGTTAGAAGAACAGAAGAAAAAAGTGGAAAAGCAAACAGAAAATGAAGAAAAAGAGGAAAACAATCAAGGAGAAAAAGAAGAACAGGAGGGTGATAGCGAAACTATTGATTTGCCTCCAGAAGATGCCTCAGTAGCTGAAGCTAAACCTATAGGACTCGCCGTTGCAGGTAGATACAGTATTTTTGAACAAATATATAGATCGTACAAAGAAATGATTATGTTAAAAATCTTAAAATTACCCAATATTCTACATAAAACTCCGGTTACCACGTTCCAGTGTTCTTTGAACTTATTGAAATATTTAATTGTCTTCCTTTTCACATATTCTACGTAATAGTAGTTTAAAAAGTTATAACCTTATCATATTATATTAGCTGTTATTTTAATATGTTTAGAATATATCACATGATTCAGAATAGTTGGAAAATTGTTGATATTTCAAAAAATTGTCGATAATAATTGTACTACCACTCTTGAAACTACAATAAATATAATTCGTTAATGTATTCACAGGTGTGGGTGGTGTAGCATCAAGTAAACCCATAGCAACAGCTGTGGTAGGTCCGGGAGGTCTAGCAATAGCTCGACCGGTTGGGACAGCCATAGCTGGAGTGGATCCAGAACAAGCATTAGTGCCAATTCATGCGGGAGAGTTTGTTATGGGATCAAAACCGCACAAATCGGGAAGTAGCGAGAAAGCAAACGAATATTTGAGTAGGATTATCAGCAAATTTCATCAAAAATAAATAGAGAAGGAAGATAGATGTAAAGAACGTGTGATTGCAGCATAAATTTTGCCATAATAATTTAATTTTAATTTATTGTTCACTATTTATTTAAAAAAAATAAATTAAATAAAGTTTTATTATAATAAATAATAATATATCCTAACAAAACCTCTTCCTTATTTAAAATTCACATCCATTATTGGTCTTCTAATATATTGTCTCCGGGATATGATTATTAATTTAATTTTTTTAAACTTTAAAACTTGTTTAAAAAACTAATTCTGGCTGAAAATGTAATCGAAAACTAAGTGCAGCTTCTGGAAATATTATATTAACTGTAACATGTCCGAAAGACACCTCATGAGGTTATCAACAAACTGAAAATTTCATTACAATCGGGCAAAGCCTTTTTTAGATAACAAAAAAACTCCCTGTACATCAAAAAGGGAACAAATTTAAATTTGAGCCAATCCTGACAATATAAACAGCACCACCTTTTATACAGGAAAGTGTTCGTTTTTTTCTGGAACAATTGACAGATAATAACAATTGTCAGTTAATACCTGACAATCTTCAAATATTAACTGACAATTGTAAGATACTAACTGACAATTGTTAGATAATAACTGACAATTGTCAGATACTAACTGAAAATTGTCAGATACTAACTAACAATTGTCAGATATTTACTGACAATTGTCAGAGAATAATTAAAACCTGTTTTTTGGAGTTAAAACTCTGCTGATAGTAGCGCATTTTTTATTAAATATTGTATTAACTGTAACATGTCCGAAAGACACCTCATGAGGTTATCAACAAACTAAAAATTTCATTACAATCGGGCAAAGCCTTTTTTAGATAACAAAAAACTCCCTGTACATCAAAAAGGGAACAAATTTAAATTTGAGCCAATCCTGACGATATAAACAGCACCACCCTTTATACAGGAAAGTGTAGAAAATATGAAGATGTTCCTTTTGTTCTGGAGCAATTGCCAGATAATAACAATAGTTAGTATCTGACAATTGTCAGTTAATAACTGACAATCTTTAAATATTAACTGACAATCTTTAAATATTAACTGACAATTGTTAGATAATAACTGATAATTGTCAGATATTAACTAGCAATTGTCAGTTAGTATCTGCCAATTGTTAGTTAACACCTGACAGTCTTCAAATATTAACTGACAATTGTAAGATACTAACTGACAATTGCTAGATAACAAGTGACAATTGTTAGATAATAATTGACATATTGTCAGATACTAACTGAAAATTGTCAGATACTAACTAACAATTGTCAAATACTAACTGACAATTGTCAGAGAATAATTAAAACCTGTTTTTTGGAGTTAAAAACTCTGCTGATAGTAGCGCAGTTTTTAAGCGCTCTTGAACTATTTTGAGAGATTCTATGGACATAGGGGGGAATGTAGTTGCTCAGAGGACAAATTGGTACAGCCCCTCCCGGAGATAATGAAAAGTTGGAGTCTATCCCTGGGTATAATGTTTCTTCTCATGTTTTCACAGCGATTCCAAAAGGATTTTGACGGATATATCAGCGGTCATATCACTTAAAGATCAATTGTTTTCCAATTTTTCTATATTCTGTACCCTTTGGCTTTTAAGCTTTAATTAAATGATGTGACAGTTTTGAAAAGTTATTTGAAAATAATTTTTGAGACCTGTCAAATTTAAATGCGACGAACGAGTATGGTGCATTTAATTTTGGCGTTTATATTTCGATTGTTTTAAATTTCAGTTCATGGATTGGGGAAGAATTATTAGTTTTGAGTTAATTAAGATCGTAGGTTTTTTAACTAAAGCATTGTATTGTTAGTTGCATAGTAACCGGCGACTCTTTTTGAATATTATGGACAATTCCAGTTATAGACAACTACTAATTTTAAGCTGAACCCTCATAGGCTCTAGTACAATATATTAAATTTATTGTTAGTAACCTTCTGTTTATTTTTTTTTACAAAACGATCTGTTGTAGTTCTATCGACAGTAGGTAACTAATTTACACAGTGTAAACAACACATTTTTTGCAATAAAAATTTAAATAAACTATTATAACTTAAATTAAGATTCAGGAAACTATAGTTTATGGTAAATGAGTTGGTACGCACTTGAACGCGTTACAAACATTACTTTTTGCATTGAGTTAACGAACGTTCCTCGTATTTATTTTCAAGGATTTATAAATATTTTTATACATTCAGGTACTTTTGAAAATGTAAATAATGGAAGTACATAAATTAATACTTAAACATAAAAATATAAGATTACGATCTATTAAATACAGGGTTCATCAAAAAGGGATTATAATGTCAATAACTAAAAAATATACTGACAATTTAATTATTTAAAATTTAAAAAAATAGTGGTAGTAAATATTAATTGTGATTAATACAATGTCCTTACTAGAATGGATATGAAATTATATCCGTTCAGTAGAACGCAACGTCCTACTTTTCTTTCTGTAATCTCTGCGTAGAACAAACATATTCGCACCCTTGCTTCAAAAGTGTCTCAACTCAAAATCTACATCTTTTGATTATTAAAAATTATTAAAAATAATCCTATATTAAAACCTCAAAAATGACAGAGGCGTCATCTAAACAACTCTTTTCTAAGTCAATTTTAAAAAAAATTGTTGATTGTAGGGTTGTTTAAGATAATAACTCAAAAGTTGTGCATTTTGAGTTGTGTCACTTTTCAAGCAAAGGTGCGATTATAATATCCATGTGGATAAAAGAATATCATTTCAACAGATATACTATAAATAAATATACACCCAGTATACGACTGGCACCTTTTGTTTTTACTTAGTCATTATTATTTTTGTTTTGCGTTGAATAATTAAAGGATGATTTTGAAGAATCTCTTTTATGATATTTTAGGGCGTGGATGGTCGGTTTTAAATACATGACGGGCAACTTTTATGCGGTTAATGTTACAATAAAAATGAATGCAAAATAAAAGATAATCGACTAATAAAAATGAAAGTGAACTGACAGGTCTTGTTTTCTTCTTGGTAATGAGTAGAGGTATTCGGTTTGCGCAGATTATGAAGATTTTAAGTTCCATTTAAGTTAAATATAAATAAAACTTATTTTCTTGATAAACAAAATCATTTTTTGAACTGTTAATTTGCCTATTACATTTTTTAAGATTCTTCTTTTTCTCAGGTACTTTATCCTATAACTATTGTTTGATAATTATTATTATGCTGACTTTTATTTAACAATTTTTTGTATTGCTTTATTGTGCTAACAATTATTTTAGGAATTTATTTTTACAGGTTTTACACCTTTTCAATATTCTAAATCACTCAAGCTTGTGGCTTTTTTGGCTGGCTATAAAAATAAAAAAAATAATTAATGTCTTAAATATTTTCAATTATATATGATTTAAAAAAAATCTTCCGATCCTCTTCTTCTATTTAATTCTATTCCAACTCCTGCTTTTCTCTATCTTCTGCTATGCTGGCTCTTATCTTGTCTCCTTTTCTGATTTGTGTTTTGCTTTTTTCACTACTCTATCTCGTTTTACTGTTCTCCACTGCCTTCTCGTCTGAACCCTCTTCCTGCTCAGCTCTCCTGCCTCCCAAGTAATAATAAGATATAAGAAAGCATGGAAAAATTGTATAGAGCGAGAGAACAGTATAACTTGATAATTTCTTAGCTTTTCTTCATGTCTTATATTTGGTAAGAATAGTTATTTCCCAGAAACATGTCAAATGAACAAGAATTTTAATTTCATTTACATATTATTATAATTTTACAATGGTAGCCTTGACTTCATTTTTCAGGTATCCCCAAAAATCCATAAAGTGAATCATGTTTTAAGAAACGCCACCCATTTAATAGATTGGAAAAACCAGATTAAGTATAACCTTTCATCAATTTGACTCATTAATTTGACGTTAAAATATTTTAAAATTTCATTAAAATATATATAAAATTACTAAAAAAATTACCATAAAAATATCCTAGAAAATAATGAAAAAACCTTACGGAACGACAGGTTCCTCCATGGCTATAGAATAGGTATCGAGCTATTTTTTTAAAATAGAACACCCTGTATTTTTTTCAATATTTTCTTTCTAATAGTCTTTACAACCAAATAATAAGGCGTGAATTAAATTTTGTAGGGTTACCTAGCAACATATTTGGTTCTTTATTTTCAGTTTTATTATTATAATTAGGTAATCACTAAAAACATTTTTCGATTTTTTGGTATTATTTATTAATACTTTTAAATAATTATAATGTATTATTTTTGGGCCAATCTATATAAAGTGATCTTTCTTTAATCATACAAAAATATTTATTGTAGCTACATTTTTTCTATTGCTTTTATATTTAAAAAATGTTACCTGAGTCTGGATTTTCGAATTTTTGTTTTTATTTCTCATCGGTTTGATTCAGAATAACAAGATGATCAGTCAGAAATTTAAATTACTATTTACAATAGCGTTGAGAAATACACACCCTGACGTGACATGACATTTAAATTGGATTGATGTGTCGCTCCATCTTTTATATTAAGATAATAAATAAAAAAGGAAAGGCTTTTTTAAAAGTCTACAAATGTTTATTTTTAGGGATATTTTTAATACACACTATTTATTATATTGATGCCCCCCGTTTTTCTTTCCTATCTTTCTTTCAACTCCTTTTATATAGAATGTATATATTTCCCATTTCTTCAGCACTTACTCTACATTTTATAATATTCTGAATAATTCCTTCTAAATAATTTTTTTAACATTTCTGGTTCAGCAGATCTGATTTTTTATTCTGCCAATTACATCTGTTTGTTTTATTTTCCTGAAGTAATTTTATGGACTGCATAGACTTATCTCTGTTCGTGTGCTAGTTTTTCTTTTTTATTTTGTCACATATCCCTAAATTTTTTTAGCACAATTTTTCCTTTTCTTTATTATTTTCATGTACTTTTTATTTTCTTCTGTATCATTGTTGTAGCTAATAATAATTTTAATGGATTCAAAATAGTTTAGGATTAAAATAAAAAGTATTATTTGTATTAATCGAAATCAAGCATAATATCTAAAATAACTTACTTTGACCATTGACCTTGCAGTAATAGTCTCCAGAATGATAATTCTAAATTTCTATTTGGTATTCCGCGAATGTATATCTTTTAAAGGTGAGTATTTACACACTACGATTGTTTTGTTGATACCAGGTGTACGCAAAGTTAACATAAATCATTTACAATCATAAATCAGAGTTATACAAGATGTTTATACAAAAAATTCCATTGAGATGCCCTGCTTTAAAAAAGTTACGGACCTAAGAAATTAATAAAATAGAAAGAACTTTTTCTCCATCCCTTATATCTCTTTTTCTTTTTCTAGATTTCACATTTTTTTATATTTTTCGATTTCCACTTCCAGTTTTGTGTATAACCTCTTACCACAACAAATATATTAAATTAATTTAGCCTAGCCAAGAATACTGCTGTACTGCAATTATTAACAGTAGATCAGTTACTTTATGTGCATTTAGGGTCTTCGACTAGAAAATGCTTGGTATTCGCCCAAACTTTCAGTTGGTTCCTACTATAGTTTTGAAACCTTCACTACTAAATTGCATGTTTTTTGTTGCAGATACTTCATTCTTTCTTTCAACCCACTTTTGTGGTTTTAAAGTTTTTCACAAAACTGTACAACTTCTTTATTTCGTACAGAGACATATCTCGAGTATCTTCGTTCTTGATCATTCTATATTTTATCCTTTTTTTTTATCATAAAATGTAAAGATGTAAGGACAGTTTATCATTGCACCGGTGGTGATGGAAACATCGATTAGTCTTTGTTCGTCTTTGTACCTTTGAGATATTTGTTAATGCTCTTATTATTGCTGTATTCATCCGTGGCAAACCAAAGATTATTCTAGTTAATTCTTCATGTTTTCCTTGCAATATTCCTGCATACTTTAATGTTTTTAGTTGCCTAATATTACTTTAATCTCATGTATATTTTAGACAAGATTGTTGTCCAGAATTAGGCATTCTATATCTATCCCATATATTATCCTTGAACGGAGAGCAGTTTCAATTATTTTTCCATTTTTTCTTCCAAAGATTTTACCAAGAAATATTTGTTATAAGTGGCAATTTTTTGAAAACTTTTTTCTTGTTTGCCGAAAGTTAACAATAATGAAATTCATAAATATTTTTTCATCCAAATTTTGTGGTTCCAAAGAATTTTGCAGTATTAACAAAATATTTTTCCCTAATTTTATGCATACAACATGCATTATCAAAATTGCCAGAAAATGATTCGCCGTTTGACATTGATGACTCCTCCCCTCCTGTGGGCTTTTATAAGAGGTCGACGGTCCTATGTGGTCCTCCAGTGTCGAAGGAGTCGTTTCTTATCCGTTTTCTGTTATTGTGCGTTACACTACACAGGGCGAGCGCGAGAACTGGGTACGATAAATCATCATTCGGTGAGTAGGTTTTTTGATTATGGCTGTGGCATACAAATCCGAGTTATTTATAGCGTAACGGGATTTTGATTAGTGTCGTTTTTTTACGACGTATTTAATTTAGAATATATTAATTCGAATTAATTTTGTAGGCCATTCTAGTAATAGTGTTTTTTTGTATTAATTTGTAGCATAAATTGGAACTTTTTTTGACCGACTTCAAAAAAGCAGGTTCTTAATTCGTTGAAATATTTTTTTGTATGTTCAGCGTTTGTCCCATTAATTTAATTATTTTTTTTTGTTAGAAAGGGGGCATACCTTATAAATTTGGTCAAAATCTGATGAATGGATCCATGAGAAAATTATCAAACTTTTCAATTTTAGAGTTGGTATTTTCCCTTTGTACAATTTTTATATTTTTCATTTTTGATTATTTTATCTAGTATAAATGTTTGTTATGTCTATACCAATTTTTAATATAAAAAGATAAGTATATAATAACTTAAAAAAAAATCGTGGGACGATTGGGTACAATTTTTTAAAATTTCTTTGAGGTGTGCATACTCGGGTACCAACCAAACATTTATTTATTTATTTATTTTTTTTTTTCAAAATAAGAAACCCAGTATATTATGTAAAATTTAGATTATAGTTTATTTGATTTTTCTAATGTTTGGTTTGGCTAGTTATAATGCATAAATTGTTTTTTTTTTGTAGAAAAATCATAAAAATATCAACTCCCTATGGACAATTACTCACTGCAGAAAAATATTTTTTACCTACACGATACTTTCTTTTGTATTGTTTTGATTTTTTTGGTAATAAGTATACAGAATGAGTCATTATTCGTACCCTTGGTTTTCGTGTTTTATATAAATAATACTATTCCCTATTCCCTAAAAAAATATCGATTATGCCATTCCTCCTTCACGAATCTTCCTGTATGTATTAATTTTGTTTTAAAGAATGCCCAAATGGCTTCGAAAGTTTTTTTCCAAAAGTTATTCCTTGAATGCTTAACGAATTTATCCACTACTTTATAAAAGAACATAGTATTTAAGGGACACACTGTATAGAAACCCAAAAAAAGAAGCACAATTCTTCTTCCTCTTTTTAAATTATTTTACTTATTCTACAAGATGTATACGGGGTTGGGCATTTTTATTATTATTAAATTATTATAATAATATTTTCGAGATAAATTTTTTTAATGATTGTTACAGATTCTAAAATAATGTTTTATAAGAATTTGTTCTCCAAAATGTGGGCATTTTGGCGTCCATACTCAAAAACCTCAAATATTGGTATTGCTATTTGATAAACTAATGCTTACATCATAAAAATAGACGTATAATAAAAATTGCGCATCTAAATACAAAATCGACTTGTCTGAATATTTTTTGTTACTTGTCTAATAAAGCCAGAAATTTGGAGTTCGCCAATTACGCCCAACCCTGTATCGTATTATAATTGTAAGCCGACAATAAATAATTGAAAAATAAATAACACTATAATAATCATTAATAAACCTTTTTATCCGTTATCCGTGCAACGGAGGTTGTTAATAATAATTACCCTTATTCCCACAATGCCGCCCTTGGTAAAATGACAAACATTGGTGATTTCCAATAATTAATGAAATTTACCACGGAGGATGTCATTAAATTATTGTTTATCAACCTCTAAAATCACATTTTACGTAACAATGACTCTTCTCTTGTTGAGAACACATCAATTACAATTCTTTTATAAACAGTATTTTAATTGTCTATAATAGATATTACCTAAGTATGATACGCTGTCCAAAGTACAAATCAAATTTGGAATTTCGTGCTAATAGTGGCGGTACTATAAGGAGATTATAGGGACTATGTCTCCTGGCAAGTCAGCAGCTTGTTGTTTCATCCCATTTTTTCTTGAATTTCATGAGATAAAAATCCTGCAGCAGAAATATTACATAAATCCAATTCGTAGAGAAGAAATAGAAAGGTTACTTTCATATCTTTTACCACCACCCCATTTTCTTGTATTATGCTAGTATGTCGGTTCCACTCTTTTTCCTTTCGACGACCCACGTACTTATATTTTTTATTTCTGATGTTTCCATAAGTCTTCTAATGTATCAATATTTTTCCTGCAATCTTCCTCGGTATTTTTCTTGTATCGTTTTTTTATAGATGTGCTTCTATTTCAAAAATCGATCTGTTGTATCTATTACCTAACCATATTTCTTCCATACCTAAGGGCAGTAGAACACTAAAATTCTGGAGGTTCATTTTTTAAATTCTTACATGAACCCTTTGAAACATTTAAAATATCAAGTATTGTTTTGCATCTATATTATTTCTAGGGAGGTAGTTACATATATCGATTTTTGCTCTATCCCCTTTGTACCGCCCTTTTGTACTTGTAATATTCCCAATAGTAGGAACTACGATTTTTTATATATTTAATTTCAGTTTATAAAAAACTCGATTCAATGCTGAATTAAAAATAGATTCAATTATTCTACATTGAAGCCTATATCGCCTATACATCAAAAAAACAGTCCAAAATTACCAGCAGAGAAATGAATTGTACAGGGTGATGTTCATATCTAATAATACAGTTTATTAAATACTTTACAGTACCTAAAAGAAAGATATTTCTTCTCGGTCTTTAAAATATCTGTATTTTTTTTTAAGCTCCTATTATTTATTATCTTATTTTTTGGTTTTCTTTACACGAATTTCTTATTATAGTTCTGAAAAATAACTGTTTAAACGAATTTTTACTGTCAAACAATAAAACTGACTCATATTGATTACGTTACACAATTTATTAAGAAACATTTAGTAATTTACCGACTAATACAGTATTATTTAACAATATTTCCTTTAAATAACTGTCATTGAACCAATGTGTTTTATAGTTTCACTTGAATAAAAAATTATATATTATTTAACCGATAATTTATTGATTTTCAACTGAAAGTAATATTATAATAAAAAAAATACCTACTTCAATTTGTAACACAGTCTATAACTGCACATTTTTAACGATAATTCTTTTATTTTCAGAAAATGTTTGCCAAATTTATACTTCTCTTGACAATCTCTTTGGCGTCATCTTATCCAAAAGATGCTCCTACAAAGAACAAAGATACGGATCAAAGGCCATACTTGTACTTACTGAACGAAGCATTAGACGACCAAGCTGGCGCTCGGCAACAACAAAGAGAAGAGAAAGGTAGAGCTTTACTACAACCCCAGCAGGTTCCTCCACAACGGCAGCAAATTCCGCAACAATCGCAGGAAGGTCCACAACAACCCCAGCAGATGTACCAACCTAATGGATATGGTATCCAGTACTTGGAACCACAGTTCAATTATCCAGCATATAATCAACAAAATTTTCCTAGGTAAATATTTTCAATTATTATTTTAACGGGTTTTTTAAACTGTACTTTTGATTTTTCGTAAATTTAAGAATAAAAAAAAAATACTTCAAATTTTATATAACCTACTAGTTTTATAAACTATTTTTAAATGGTCCACAGAAACAAAGTGGAGTGGCTTTAGATCTGGAGATCCAACACCTCGATAAGTGTTCTTTTAGCCATTTTCTTACTGCTAATATGGGTGTTCCATTATTCGTTGGGAAATGTCTTAACGTTTTTAAATTTGTTTGTTTTTATATACTTAAAATCAAAAGTTATTTGGACTATCCAATTTTGAAATAAAAATATTTTTGAGGAGAATCACACAAATTTCGCTAGCTCTGTATGAATCTCCATCTGATAAAAATTGTAATAAATAATATTACGGAAAAATAGTTCTTACTTAGAATTCGGAATATTTTTAATGGATAAGATATAACCCAGTTTAATTTCCCATGTACTATTAATCATTATTGCTCTGATACTCTGGGTTAGTACATTTCAAAATTAGTGGTTACTAGAACGGAACATTTAGATACGACAAAAACGCTTTTGATATTGTGGCCATTCACCCATTTCGATTTTTAAGAAAATTAAATGCAATTATCAGTTAGTGTGCCTGCATAGTATACCTACAAAGTGTCCGAAATACGAGTAAATATATTAGTGTCTCTCAAAATATAAAAGATAGAAGGTCGGTTAAGTAAAAATTTTGTTTTTTAGAGAATTTGATGATGATATATTCCAAAGTGTTACTGTATGTTAAGACACTTTTTAATGAAGAATATTTTTGAAGGAAAAAATGTTTCCTAATTGTTTTTAATGTCCAATTTACCTACCGTAACTTTGCATATTATTTCCCTGTGATAATTGGCAGTATTATTGGTAATATTAAAAAATTACACAAAAATTTCAAAAAAATATTTTTTTTTTATCTAAATATTTAAATATAAAAACAACGTACTCATATAAACCAACTAAATACTTATCCGAGGTAATACATTGACAATATTTAACATGTCACGTCAATTTTGGTTTAAATAGAATGATAGAGAAGACTTGAGTAAGGGCTGTTGCCCGAAACTCTTGCTTCGGGACTCAATGACCCGAAACATCTTAGGATGTAAAGTTTCGTGCAGCCAGCTTTGGGCAGAGGTAAATATCTTTAAATTACTTTAACATGTTGTTTGGTTTTGTTTTGAAACAATTAATTGATTCCTTATAAATGTCAAAAACTCATTTTGGCCGAAAATACGACTTTCTTTCTTAACACGTCAGAATATAGAAACACACTGTATAGTAATTACTTTTTAGATTGTTGTAAAAATTAACAATAAAATATTTTCTATAGGTATAACTTTTTTTATTATCCATAGATAACAATAAAATGTGTTCTTTATATGAAAAAAATGTGTTATGATGATGGTATGATATGAAACCTACAATCTTAGAAACCATAGTAGTTGATAATAATTAGAAATCACCAAGCGTAGACAAATTGTGAGTATTTATGATTGTCATTGACCAATATACTCTACATGCATATGCATTATTTGTAAGTCTACTGCATTTGAATAACCAACAAAAAAACTATCTTCATAGAATACCGACACAATGTAGAACCATCACCATGAAAAGTATACCATTACCAGAAAAATATACCAGGAACGTAGAAAGAAAATAATTAATCAATAAACGAATATCCCGCTATAAAAACGTTTTAAGAACTAAAAGACTTTTGCAGCTATAAGAAAGAAGTTAAAAATAACAAAATTATTTTCCTTGCAGAGTTCAACCTTCGTTCCTTCTCTACGGAGCCGGAGGTCAAGGTCAACCGATTCTTATCAATCCGGGTTCACCTCCCGGTAATTTTCTAGTTCCTCAACAACCCGGAACGAACGTTTTCCTAAGAGGAAACGAAAATCCGTATTTCATAGGGGGTTATCCAAATCCAACACCAGCCCATATTCCGCCAATAGAAAAGGATGCAGAAGAAGTTCCTACCAATCCGGCCAACATACCGCCTTTAGCATCTCCAGGCCCACAAGGTAAGGTCAATGTTAATTGTTTAAAATTAAGACACGTGAACTGAAAATAAAATAAAAAAAAATAACCTGAGTTCACTTAGGGCGGATATCCACTTATTAGCAAATATGGACGTTCAATTAATTTCAATATATATATATATATATATATATTTTTTTAAGCTTTATGTATTGCACTAAGTCCATAGAATTATAAAAAGAATTCAATTCATTAAAGTCTGCTGTCACTTGTGGCTTAAGTGTATTCAGAGATCTGACTGTTTATACTGCTTTTCTAAAATTTTTATATTTTGTGACATCCGCCTTAAGTGAACTAAGACTAACATTTACAATCTGACTGATCGTGTGGGGCACTCCAGAATCTAAGGGCACTATACTTAGAGCACACCAGAAGAAGAGGGCGATCTACCTAACTTGAAACCACTGAGAGGATTGGAAGGATCCTTATTGGTATCAAGAATATTTCCTTGTTGCTTAAGCGACAGAAGGGAGCAAAATAGTTCGCAGTGAATTAAATACCCCAGTCCCAACATAGCATAACATGGGTTCATTATGAAATCTATATTTAGATGCTCTACAGACACTATAAATCAGACTTGTATCAAAATATCTCATTACGAAAATTGCACACAAGTTTACTTATAACCAGGGGGCATATTTTTAAGGAAGAAAGCAAAATGTTCATTTTCTACTTGCGCAAAATTTGTTATGTAAGAACTGCATCAAATCGGCGATGAATTTTTTGTAGACTATAAAGCAGGTGCATTACCAACTCGCAACCTTTCATTACTATGTATTTATATATTGTGAATTTTTTTTAAGTTTCACCATGAACTTCTTTCTTTTGGGTGCGTTAATGTACCATTCATTAATGGTCTGAATGAAAGTTGATTAATTTGGGCAAACAACAAAAATAAAATTGTTACAGGTTGAGAAATTTCTTCACTAAACAGTAGTGTCCTCTAGGGTCTACCCGTTCATGAGGGAGAAAGGCACTCAAATAATATTCTTATATCAAAACTTATTTTACTTATTACACAGGAAAGATATTAAAAAAAAATGTAATTTTAGAAATGAGAAAGGTAAATTTGATTTTATACATTAACCTAGATTTGTTGATATTATCGTCTAGATATTGAATATGTTGACTGAGATTATGTTCTTTACAGTTTAGATACTTTTACTTTAATGAAATTATATTCCTATCATATTGAAACACATTAATTGATCTTATTTGCGTACAATTATATACATGCCAGTTATGGAGTCATGCTCCAGATTTTTTTTTTTTTATTTACAATTAAGTATTTGAAAAACGGTAAACTTCTGAAAATATAAACACAAAATTTAACTAATTAATTTCATCTAAAACGTACAGCATTTAGAAACATTTTATGTCGAAGAGAAATAAATTGAGACTTTGATCGCATAAGACAAGGAAAAGTTGTGCTGGGAATAAGACATTCAATATTTAATTACATAGGTATATCACTAAGCTAATTTTAATTTAATGCTGACAGGATAATCAAGGAATATTTCCTAAAAATTTGAAATATCTAACTCCACTATTTAATCAGTCACGGTACTGTTTTGTCTAATTTGGTTTTTTTTAGTAGACTTCATAGAGTAAGATTGTTTTCAATGCTTATTTTGTTATTCACTTTTTCCTTTTTTTTTATTTCTTTTTTTTTCCCTCGAATTTATTGATTAGAAATAATATAAGTATTTCAATTTAATGAACACTAATCTATCAATCATTAAACACCGTTCAAATGTATAAAATTACACGCGGCAACCAAAACAATAAGACTATTGCATATATCCTGCACTGCAGTTCATGTCAAATAGAAAGTGGCATTAAATATGTCCACATTTTTAATTTAATAAATTGTTTGCGATTGCTTGTATGTAAATGTATAATTCTATACTACGTAATAATAGTGACACGGCTATCTCAAAACCTAGTTTAATACGGTAGACGTGGTAAAAATAGATTTATTAAACGCATCAACTGCCCTAAATTACATTCATTAGATATAGTTGGAATTATAACTGTTAAATTCAGTACTTTAATTTGTATCAACAAGAAACGTTTAATAGTGATTCAATAGGTATACTTAAACACCCTCAAAGAAACAAAATTATGAAGACTTCGAAAACAAAACGTATACCAAAGACGAAGCGCCAAAGTGGCATAATATGTTACATACAAACCCTCAAGTATAAGCTCAAAGATACAAACTAACTGGAAAAAATATACGGCATTCGCCGCAAGTTTTATTTTAGAGTGTAGTCTTTGAAACAGCAGTATGTCTTCATCCTCGTTATTTTGATCATCTTCATTTTCTCAATTTTGTGGAATTGACACTATCAAAATTTGGAATGTTTTATGGTAACTCTAGATTCCACCTCCATGCGTTTTTTTATGATTTTCATTTTTGACTACAAGTACCTGAGTCCTCCATGGAAATAAGTTTTCTTCTATAATACCTTCTTTCAGCAGTTTTTCTACTTCTTCTTTAATTAATTTTTCGTCATCTTCAGAATATCTACATGAAATAATTGTGAAGATTGTACTTTGGCCGCAGATAGACATAGATTCAGGCCCAAAAAAGCTAGCTGGAGCAGGAAAGATTCGCCATCGTCCCAACGAGTTAAATTTTCTCGTTTTATTTTAAGACTATTTTAGACCCTCTGAATCACATTTCAAAATACTTTTTTTGGTGCTTATGAACCCAAAATTGTTATATGTAATGTGTTTCAAAGTGTCTAGAGACTTATTGAAGACAATCGATATTGTTCGCAGTGTTTTTGGTTGTCATCTAAAGATTTAGACTGAGAAACAGCTTCTTCTCTAGCAAACAACTTCTGGTAGCTAATGATTGTCTAGTGAATATTTCATTAAGATCGAAGATCACGCCACATCGAAAAGTTGCCGTCTTGTTTATTCATTAGTCAAGAAGGCAGCCAACCAAATACTTTTTCACCCCTTCTATTGGACTGACCTTATCGGTAGTGACAAACCTAATTAAAGAACATTCCCATATGAAATTGTAGAAAAGATGGGATGAAACAAGAAGATGCAAGAGTTGTAAGGGAGCTTTTAAGTTATACTACAGCAAACAAATACTTGAATATGACTAGACAGAATCTGCGCCTAATTACAGGCATTCTTAACTGGTTATTACTAAGTACGGAACCATCTATATTGCATGGGGCTGTCAGAATCTGCACTGCAGGAAGTGCGAACATGATGTGATCATCGAGCATATCCTCTGCGATTATTAGGAAATTTGTGTTCGGCGAGAATTGGCTAAATCTGTAGGCTGGCTCACGAAATAGTAGCACAATGCGCCTAGTGACGCCTAAATACCCTGGGTTAACCCACCCTCCTCACGTTACAAATACAGAACAAACTTATTCCCAAGAATATCGATAGCTTCAGTAAAAAAATTACATTCCCTTACTGATTCATATTTGTCTTTATCACTGTTCAGAATTAGGAACAGATCCTAAGAATTTTTGAAATGTCTTCAACTAATGTTTCCATTCCCTAGCAGAGTTTGGATTAGCTTCAAACCTTCAAAGTCGTAAGTATTCATCCATCTTGGTTTCGTTAAATAAATTGTAATAAAGCAAACCTTTGCATAATATAGACTTTATTTAACAAAACTTATGCCAAAGATGAAATGCCAAAGTAGCAAATACTGATAAATAATCAAATACATAATGTGATAAAATAATATACATACAAATTAACAAGATTAAATGTACGACAAATTTTCTATTATTGTTTCAATTTTTTAGCAACAAAGCCTGAAAAACTCGAAACTTTCACGGAAGACTTCAAGCCCGACCAACAAGCGAAAACAGCTGGGGAAGCTGATGTACTAGCAGAAGCTGACAGAACTCCCAAACCTTTAACGAGAAACGATTTGAGGCCTGGTCAAAGATTTTTCATCCTAAACGGAGAACCTCTTTATCAGAATTACCCCAATAACTATCAAGAAGATCCAAATTTAGGTTTCCAACAGATCGATCAACCATTCCAACAGTTACAAGATGGACACCAACCGCAGTACTTTAATTATAACGCTCCTGTCCCTGGGTTTTTATTAAGAAACGTACCAGAATTCAACCAACAGCCCAACTATCCTCCTCAAGGCAACACTGATTTAAGTCGTGTACCTAATCAAAATGACCAGCGATTCACTCAAAGTTTCATCCCATTGGGCCAAAATTTACCCCAAGAAGCTTCTCTAAGAGGGAATTTACCAAACTTACCTGAGCTGGTGCAACTAAATGGGCAAAGTCTTCCACAAGATTCAATATTTAAAACAAATTTAGAAAATAACAATGCTAATAGAGTACCCATTGGGCAATTTAGGTTCGCACCCCCTAATGGAGCTTTCTTTCCCTTTGAAGATGATACAGAAAATGATTCTGTCGTGGTAGATGCAAATTTCGATGATGATCTTAATGCTGGACAGAAATTATCCAATCAGGAAGGTATGTTTGTATTTTTTTTATTAAGTAAATAGATATAAGTTGAAGAAATCTATATGGCGCTATTTTCTACTATTAATTTGTTAATTATTTTGTATTTTTCATTAATCCATTTAAAATTAGATTTTACTTTAATTAAATGGCTTGGGAACATCGGCACCGCTCAAACAATTCCGGGGGGAGGCAAGTCTTATGGGTAGGGTCAAAACGACGAAGGGTATAGTCGAAAGCCATGGCGAAAAAAACACAAAATCACAAAATGGGGGAGAAGGGGGACCAGGCACACCCCCTTGCCCTCGTATGGCGCCGCTCATGCTTGGGAATATCAAACAAGAATTAGAGAAAATAAATTCTTAATATTTATTTAGTTTAAATAGTACCATATCCTATCTAATTAAAATGTTTTTAGAACATAATAATTAAGAATAATACCTTCTCTTGAGACTAGACGCAAAATTACATGTACCTTATTTTTATATTTATAAAATAATCAAATATGCTCAATGCTTGACTCAAAATATGTTTACTGCTCCTTTTACCATAATAACATGCAGTGCTTCACCTCCTGATTATGTTTCATTTAACCAATATGATAGTATATAGTACTTTGTGAAACAAGAGTGGATATGATGGCCATATCGCACAGAGACGAATTTTGAGCACGAAAGCATAGGAACTAAGCGCTTTGACACACAATAAAAACAATTACCGACATAAACTGTCCTTTAAATGGTATGAAAAACAGAATCATTAAATTTTTTTTTATAACTGTATATATAAAAATATTCCTACTTTTAAAAATTATAAGTAGAGCTTTTATTTTTTTAATTATAACTTTGTAATTGCATTGACTGCTCTGATGCGGAACAGTTGAATGTTGAATCCATATCTCATTTTTAATCTTAATATATGAACTTTATCAACATATCCTCCAATGTTCCAATTAATTGAGCAAATATAAAAATAGGTGCATAAATAATAATAAATAAAAACACAATAAGTATACTCAACCTCTTGATAGCTCATCTACTTAATAAAACTGAACTCTCATTAACCGTCACATTATATATTTCTTCAACTACTTATACACCTTTAAAGATATTTGTAAAATTACCTTTGTAAAATTGTCTCTGTAAAATTGTCTCGGAAAATATCCCTAAAATGCCGGGCAATAAAACCCATTTCTGATTCTTTTCAGATATTTCTTTACCCATTGCGAAATCGTCAGATCCGAGCACGGCTCAAGCAACGCCCGGAGCAATAGCTTTGGCCGGTCCTGGAGGGGTAGCAGGCGCTGCCCCTAAAGCTACCGCTTTAGTAGGGAAGGGTGGATTGGCTGTATCAAGTCCGAAAGCAACAGCTATAGCTGGAACGAGAGAGGAAGTTAAGGTAGAGAAAGAAACTAAAGTAAAGCAGGACAAAGAGAAGAAACCTACGAGAAAACCAAAAAATTAGGAGACTTAAAATGAACGTGTATAAATAATGTGGATGGGATAATAGTGGTTGATTCTTAATAAACACCATTTGCGATTTGCTGTACCGCTAAAAAAAATAATGTACACGAATAAAAAACTTTTCAAGAGTTAAGAATTACTATAATCACATATAATAGAACAACAAGACCACTATGAATTTTTATAAATTGACACACTCCGCTTGAATCGTCAATAATGAGAATCAACTCTAATCCACAAGATCTGACACAGAAGTAAATACATATTATAAAAATTAGACGTGTTCTCCATTATTTTTATAAAAGCGCCTTTTTAAAAATAAAGTTTAATAAAAAAAAAACTAGCTGTGATTCCCTAGGATCAAGGGATAAATACATGATATGCACATTTTCGGTATTTTGTCTGGATATTCTCAGAAATAATTTGTGTATTCCCAGATATTCTTACAATTGTTTTTTTTTAAGAGTATCATTACAATGTAAATTTGCACTCATTTGACTTTTCAATATTTATTTAATTACTTTTTGTAACTATATATGTTTTACAATGATGAATATTTTAATCCTTTTTTTTTTTTCAAGAATAAAATTTTGTAAGAAATCGATTAATAAAACGATTTCCTTAAATTTTATTAAACATTGGTGTTTATACTTACAGGATGTCTCAAAATTGCTGGGACATGTAATTGTAGAGGTTACAATAAGTCAATGTACTTAATGTTAGACCGTAATTTCAAGGGCGCACTTCAAAACCAAATGCAGGGACACAAGTATGTCCTATAACGCCTGGTTTTTAAGATACAGTGTGTCAAACTATAAAAATTGTTTTTCATTAATTTTTGCCAAAATTTAGCACTATTGTTCATTCTAATAAAACACTAATTTAGCAATAACTAGATGGTAATTGTATTATTAAAAAACATTGTTTTTTCAACTTTTTTAGGATGCATGTTAATATAAACTTTTTTTTGTGTATATGATATATAAATTGGGTCCAATCGGCTTATTTTGACTGCTACAATACAAGTACCAACTATTTTTAGACACCCTATATAGGCGTATTAATTTATCAAATTTTAAAAAGTAAATAATGTTAAAAAATTAATTTATTAAAAAATAACTTTATAGTTAATAATTTCAGAAGAATTGTATTTGTACTTACTTGAGGCAACAAGCTTCTAATTTGAGGAAACATGGAACCCAATTTTAACTCTATCATAGAATGAATGAAATGTTGAGGCAGATGTCTGTAATTGTTTATCAACTCCTATTGTTAGAATGTTACTGGTAGAATTAGTAAATTTGTATTTATGAAATAAAAACATTGCCTTCTTATAAAATATTAAATGCAAATGTTGCATTAAATATTTAAAGAAGCAATAAACTTTATGTGTATTTGTTTTATTTATATAACATTTTTTTTTTAACAAATTATTTATTAAGATTGTCCAAGTACAGCAAATTTATTATTAGGATCAAAAACGACTTCTTCATCAGAATCAAATTGGATATTTTCAAATTCTTCCTCGAGTTTGGCTTTCCTTTTTTTCTTCTTTCTCTTTTTAATAGCTATCTGCTGAGTCATTTCGATTTTAATATAACTTCTAAGTGTATCCAGGATGCATTGGAAACTGTACAAAACACCAGGTGCATCTTTTAACAAAATTTTCATATACTCATCTAAATTTGTTCTTTTATTCAAATTATTAGTTAAATTATAAACAAATGTGCTATTTAACAAATCTGGCATATAAAAATCTGAATATGGAAAATCTAGAAGTATATTTAAATGGCCTATATGCAACAAACAACTTTGGAATTGTGAAATAGAATGAACCAAATTCCTATCAAAGGCTTTGTAATTCCTTGTCAGTTTATCATCCATTTCGAAATAAGTAATTACAGCTTTCAAGCATCCTATAGAATCATTTTGTGAAATATTTTCCAAAGATGTTTGGATATCATCAGTATTTAAGGATTCTGTTTTCTGGTTACTTGTGAATGATGCAAACCTTTTATTGAATATTTTACTTGATCTGTAAAACCCAACTTTTTTATCAATATAACTCAATAACAATTTACTCATTATTAAAGAATATATTATGGGCCAACCAGCCAATGTCTTTTTTAAATAGTAGTGAATTGTTAACAGAAAAATATGCCAAGATTGTGGGAACATTTTTAAACAGCTGCAAAATGTATTATCTATATCTAAAATATCTAGAATCAAGTTTTCTTTAGACTCTTTGCTTAATGTTTCTATTTCATTGTAACTAGGTACAGGAATATTACATAAAGGTATTTGAGATTTACCAACATGTTCAGATCCTTTTCGTCCTATACACAATAATGGCCTATCATCACTGTTGGTTAAAATTTTGTGAATTGCACTTAAAATATCAAAACTGATCATTGTTGACTGTTCTAGGGAGTTATTTTCAATTTGTGGAACACAATAGTATTTATTTTGAACAGAAATATCCATAAAACTAGGAGGGTAAATACACTTTCTGAATTTTTCTAAAAATTTAGGAGGAACATCTACTTCAGAACTACTTTCTTCAAAAACCAATTCTTCCTCACTTGATGAACCATCATTATTAATTTCTTCCTTTTCTCCTGATGAATATCCTTCCTTTTCTTCTGATGAAGAACCTTCTTCTTCATCATGTATATTATTGACAATTGATAGGTCTAAGTCAGTTTTTGGTGACTTATCTTTAAGTATTGGAATTACATCAAAATAATTAAGATATTTGCTATCTAATGAATTATAACCTTTAATAGCCTCTTGAATTTTTTTCATAATATTGTTTCTTCTGACTTTTTTATATCTGCTAAGGACCTTCTTTAAAGCACTCTCAATAGTCTCATTCTGCAACCAAATTAAAAGTGATTTTATCCTTTTTTGTTGATCTGACTGATTGCCGTGACACTTTTGTATCTTTAAATTCTGATAAAACATTGTAAAAACTCCCCTCTTGACATAATCATTACCCAAAAGCACAGCCAACATAGGTAAACTTCTCTTCTCTAATCCATCAAATGATTTCAAAAATTTATCTACACTATATATTTTACAGTTAATGTATTTATATGTCTTAATATTTTGGAGCTTTGTTCTTCTAACAGTCATTTCAAAATTTGGAAAAGGAATATACAATGTATCAAAAATAAAATAGTCAGAATCATAGCTCAAAATAGGACAACCCAAAGCTCTAGCTATATTTGCTGTGTCTGTATCACCTTCAAAATCACATCTTACTTTATTTATACCTCTTTGATTGACAAAATGTTCAAAGGTTTTCCTCAAAAATATAGGAAACACTGATACAGAAGTTTCTGTTACCGGGTTTAGTTGATTTGCAGATTTTATCTTATTTTTCATTCGACTGATTATTGTGGCCACTTTCCTTGTTTCGTAGCCTCCGTCAAATATCACAAAAGGTGTAATGTTACATTGTTTTAGTACTTCAAAAAAATTGTTTATGGCTTTTCCAAATTTGTCGTAATCACCTCCAAAGCAATCATTTGAAGAAGCATGCCATTTGTAAAGTTGACAGGCAATGGAGTTACCATCTATAACCAGTTCTGTATCATGTAATTCGTAGTCCTCCAAATACAAGTGTGATCTGTTTTGTATAAAAGTTGTAAGTCCTCTTATACCCATTTTCTATAATAATTCATTATTTTTAAAAGGTTTTTATTTTTTTTTTAGCTCACAACCTCACTTTTTATTATCAATTTTATTTTGACGTATTTTTTGACATTGACAGCTGTTGACGATAGTTAGAATTTAGGCAATTTTTGAAGACTAACTGGAGTAGCCTAAGGGGCCTATTCAGTAACTCTGAACGACGTCGTTAATAGACGATAATCGTTCACAGACGACTTTTCTTATTCAGTAGACAACGATTGTCGTTGAAAATAGACAAATATGGTTGTAAAATTGTCGTTCATCAACGATAGCCAAAGAGCTGTCGTTAATAATATGAAGTGTCGTTATAGTGATTTTTGCATTCCCTCTCATTTTTCATTGTGAATCAGGATGTGTTCTAAATAATAAAAGCACTTTTTTACAAATTTTACATCTAAATTGCCATCTAATACCTAATACAGCAAGTACAATTTGTAAGGAATTTTTTTCTAATTTATTTAATTATTTTAAAAATAAATCGGATTCAAAGTTAGGATTGCCCATTCAACCATTTACTATTAGATTCCTATTAACAGTGCTGTTCCTAAAGTAGCACTGCGAAACAGTAACAAAACCTATATTACGGAAGTACCTATAATACTTCTCCGTAACCTACACAAATTTGGTCTGTCTTTCAAATACAATCAAAAATACAACTTGTATTGTTCTCGAGTTGTTTTTTGTATTCTTTTGGAATAGTTCTCAGTTTTTTTTTTAATATATCCATACTCATTTAAATAAACCCTACATACAATACGACCAGCAAAAATGGCCTGCGAGAAACAAGAATTCCTACGAATCGAGAATCGACCCCCTGATCGTGTTGTAGGTTAAGAACAATAATTAATATATTCTGAAAAACAAATGAATATATCTACTGGTAGAATTTTTATTTTACGTTCCAAAAAAATCTCAAATATACCGAGTGTTTAAATTAAAGGGTTACAGTTAAATACCTCCTTTTATAAAAAAAAACAAAGTTTTATAGTTTTTTGGGTGTTACTCAATAAGTAGAAATCCAATAAAAAAATGTTTCCTTTAGAAGTTTCTTATTATTTTATGAAAAATTGGGTTCCAATTAAAAAAAAAAAAAAATCCACCTCGATATGGCCATATTATGGTCAGCTATAAAAAAATTAATTTAGCCAAAATGTTTCCCCTAAAAAACTATAAAACTTTTGTCTGATACTTTTTTTTATAAAATGAATATTTTCGGCGATATTTAACTGTAAAACTTTAATTTAAACACCCGGTACAATCATCAACATACGTTCTTTTATCACAAAACACTAAATTATAATACCAACTTACTAGAAATCATCGTTCAGATTTGGTAACTAGAAACAACGTAACGACTTTGTTATTGAATAGAGTTTCAAAAATTATCGTTATAAAAGTCGTTGGTTGAACTGTCGTTAGCTTAACGATGTCGTCCATAAACGATAAATTACTGAATAGGGCCCTAAGGGCCGATTCCACCGATGTGTTAAACGGAGATTAAAATGACATTGTTAATGTAAAAATGTCATTTTAAACTACGTTTAACACAACGGTGGAATCGGTCCTTTAGTTCCATTTATACAAATTGTATGGATGGAACGACATTTTCAGAAGTAACGTAGCTCAGTGCTACACTGTCGATGCAAAGGAAAAGACCTCTAATGACACAAGTGTTCTGTGATTGGCACATAACCAACAAACTTCAAACTTCTGATTTGGTTTTATTTATTTATTTATTAAACAACACTACATATTATTTAGAAATGTTTAATTATCTTTTATCAATAACAACTTGTAAATGATAAGATAATATACAAACGCAACACGCAACGTATCTTAATACATATTTAGTGAACTTAAAACTGTATAATTGATTCGTCGAAATGGGAATAAAAGGGTTAACAACTTTCGTAAAAAATAAATCGGAGCAGTGTATGGAAACCTACGAATTACATAATACGAGCGTAGTAATAGATGGAGACGCAGTCCTTTGCCAACTATACTTGGCTCATACTATTCCAAGAAATGGATGTTTCGGTGGCGATTATGATAAATATGGTAACACAATTTACAAGTTTTTTCACATGCTTTTCCAATGTAAAGTCAAGCCATATATAATACTTGATGGAGGATATGAAAGCCGCAAAATGGAAAGAATTTTCGAGCGGTTCAAGGGTAGAATAGATCAAGTGGAATATTTGAATGCCAGAACAGAGTCGAGAAATAATACTACTCCCCTTTTTATTAGAGAAGCTTTTGAAGATATCGCTTTGAAACTTGGCATAAAACTAATAAGATGCGACTTTGAAGGTGACAGAGAAACAGCTAATATTGCTAAAGCTTTGAAATGTCCAGTGATGAGCAATGACTCAGATTTTTATATTTATGATATTCCATATATCCCTTTCCAGAGTGTTACTATGAGTGTTAAGACAGGTTCTTCTGTAAATTCAGATACCCAAGAAACTACTAATTATAAGTACATTCCTTGTGAAATTTATAGAATTGATAAGTTTTTAAGTTGTGTTGGTGATATGAACAAGGACAATTTGCCCTTATTTGCAGCTTTGGTGGGCAATGACTTCATGGATGGAATTGAACTCTCAAAATTGGGTATAAAATCCAAAAGTGAACATTTTCTCCAAAGAATTGAATCTATAATAGAATGGTTACAAACAGAGACTAAAGAAACAGCTATTCAAAAAGTGTTAAATATTTATGACAGTGAAGAACGTGACTCTGTACTAAAAAAAATTGAGGATGCCATAAATGGTTATAGTTTTAGAGACAGTAAATATTTAAAATATCTAACAGATGAATCTGTAGATGATTCTATTGATTCAGAAAATGAGGAAGATGACTACAACAGTTATGAAAAGTTAACTTCCTCTTTTCCCAAACCTTTTATTGAAAATTTTAGAAAATCTTTGTATCCTACCAGATTTCTTGATATTTTAACTCAAAATAAATATTATAATTTTAAGCCTCAAGTTGAAGTAAGAGAGTATGAGCAAGCGCATGATGTCAGCTTTGATATAATGTCAGCTGTTCACAAAATTTTAACAGGTTCATCAGAAAATTTAACTTGTCTGATAAGATCAAAAAGTGAAGCCACAGAAATAAAATTGCCTTTGTGTAATCTTGAGCTACCCTCATATGTAGAAATCCAAACAATGGATCTGCAAACTAGGAAAAGACTCATTCTTACCATTTTAGATATAGAAGAGAGTTTTATTACAAATTCATTAAGGTGTTTTCCTGAATCCTGGCATTTGCTTGTCCTCACACTGAAATATATGACACAAAAATCAACTATTGTACCACCAATTACATATTCTATAATTTTATGTAAATTAGTAATAGATTTTATAGATCCTAAAGTTGGTTTCTACCGAGCAACAGATGTATTTAATAGGCAGTTTTATTCAAAATTAAAGGATATTTTATCAAATAGAAAAATTTTGTCTCCTAATTCAAAAACTTTAAAATCAGCTCTAGACAGCATTACATATGAGGATGCATTGATAGCTCTGAGTCGGCTAATAGCTTTTTTTGAGTTTAATAGACACTTAAAAAAAGATGTAAGGTTATATGACAGAAAATTAATGCATTGCTTATCCCAATTTCAAAGTTGTCTTTTGCATGTAAAATGTTTAAACCAACTTTTTAACATGCCATATCACGATTTTTTCATAACTGAATGCTACAATGGTACTTTTGTATACAATATGACCTATAATTTAAGGAAAAGAGAAGAATTGGACGATTATTTGAGGTATTTGTTGCATAAAGCTCCTCTCATACTTAATTGTTTTGAAATAGTTATCAAGCTAATAAAAGAAGAAGATTTGTAAAATGTTTACTTATAAATAAATTTTATATTATTTTTAATACCTGCAATTTATTTATTTATTTTGTTTTTTTTTATGACAATGGATACTTTTTTAATCTCTCCTAATATTGTGTTACTGCGTTTGAGCCCCTTTCCTTGCGAGACTATCTGCAATCTTATTACTCTGTACCCCGCCTAGATTTTCATGAGAAATATCAGAAAGCAGTATTTTAAAAGCCAGTGTGTAGAAGAGTTTTAATTATCTCGAGATAAACAGAGTTTTCACAGACCTTAAGAATACTGTTTTTGAGAGAAAACACTCTTCTGAATTTGAAAATAGACCCCCAGGAGAAAAGAGCTATAGAGAAATTCTTAAATTTTTGGTATATTGCAGTAAGAAATAGAACACAAATACCTATGTGCATCAGAAATTCTACTGCTGGGCAGGGGGGAAGAGAATAATTATTTTTCTTGTAGTTCTTGGGTGCTGGTGGGAAATGAAACTCCTGTATTTTCCCACCAGCACCTAAAAACCCAAGAACTACAAGAAAAAAAATTTTTTACAAGACTGCCTTTTGTAAAGTACCAATATTTTTCATATCTTTCACTATTAAAACAAACAATGTAATCCGAGCATTATGCTTTACATATTATGCCTTACATAGAGCAGCACTTACAATTACTAAAATTAAAATAATTTTAATAATAGTAAAAAATATAGAACACGTACTTAGACCCAGTAGTCACTGCCAAAAAATAAATAAGTGTCTAAATTCAAGATGACGCTAGTGAGTTTTCTTCTTTTCAATTTTTGTAGGCCTCAGCTGCCAGGGCTATTCGGCCTAATTTTTCAAAATTGACCGCACAGAATTTCAGTTCTGTGATTGACAGTTACATATAAACGACGAAATTTCATTGGCCGAAAACCTAGTTCACCACCATACCAGCCCTGGTTCACCACTTATTGTTGCATGGCGCCATTTTGGCGAATTTCAAATTATAAAAATACCAGAATGAGTCGTAGTGTCACTGTAGAACGCGTATAATTTTGATAGTTTATAGTTTAAAATTATTGGAATCCGATAGTTTAACTTTAATAAAAAATTTGTAACTTTTGTGACTTTAAATAATTGTGAGTGATTAAAATCCTTTTTACAAGTCACTTTCTACAATGAAACTTGATGTCTTTCCAACAGTTCAAATAATCAATATGTAAGTATAATTAAATCAATAATATAGAAGTTTGAATTAAGTACAAAAACAAATATTAGTTAATGTTAGAAAGACGAAAAGTTGAGTTGACTACAAGAAGTCTGAAAAAATACTTTTAGTTTGTGTCTCATACATTCTTTTTTATTCAAATTGGTTTAGATATTTACAAAAATATAGAAAATATCTGAAATGATGTCATTTCTAATGTTTTATATAACTAAAATGGCTGTGATTTATAAGAATATAGATATATTATTCTTGATAACAATATTATTGTTGTAAATTGTGTTTTTTGTCAAATCAATTTACCTAATTACAGTTTTAACGGGGGTGGTGTTTATTCTAAAACACTATTCAACATGAAGAGCACAATTAACAATAAAACAAATTCAAATGTGGCTACTAACTACATGTACTACTATTGGCTTTGGTATCTTAGGTACTGAAGCAGAACAGGAACTTCTAGGCCAGCTATACTCAACCTTTTTTTCCTTCAGGCCACATACATATGTTTGCTATGTTACACGGGCAGCAACGTTTTTGAGTTGACCTTTTTTGGTCATCCATTTAGAATTAGTAGGAACCTACACGAAATAAAACACAAGACTCAGAAACCCACATTTTTAAAAAGCACCTTTATAATAACAGTGTTTTGGGTTGGCTGACGTTAGACAGGGCCGTATCCAGGATTAATTGAATTGGAGAGTTTGAAAACCATACATGTCCAAAATCAGCCTTCCGAGAAAAACAATAAAAACCTTTTACAAATCACGAATATGTACGGTTTTTCGCCTAATTTAACGGGTATAATCAGCTGTACTATGTTAAAGGATAGATATCTAGTATGGTTTTTAAGCTCAATCCATGAAGAGACAAATTTTAAACAAAATTGCTATCTTACTTTAAAATGTCAAATTTTGGACTTCTAAGGTTTTCGAACTCACCAATTCAATTGGTATAGCATTTATATAGTTTATTTAGTTTTTCTCACTCAATTAAAAATGCTTGTACTTAAATTTAATGTGCATTCGTGGATTATGGATTCCAATTTTACTATAGAAAAAAACTATAACCAGCAGTTTTTAAATTTCTACTTTTCTGTCTGAAAAATTACATTTTTTTGACACATTTGAGTATAAAAGTATGTCAACATATTTATTGACTGTCACTATCTGATAATTTATTTATTTATACCTCAAAACAAACAGAATGCAATCCATTTACATGTTATACATTAGAGTAGTACTTACAATAATTACTAAAACTAAATTTTAAAATGGTACAAGGAATATAAAATAGATTATGTAATATTAAAAGTTATTTTGATTAAGAATAGATTTGATAAAATGTGTATATTAATTTCAATTTATTGAAAGACACATTAAAAAAGTCAATGATACTGCTAATTAGAAACCAATCTAGTATTTGAAGAAAGTTATCAATAGGTGGGAATAAATTATGGTTGGAAAATAATGTGTACCTTTGTCTATAGTCAATAATATCTGGTACACTGAAATTGATGGAGGCTAGTAATTCGGGTGAATTAAAATTTCCATATATGTTTATAAATGTTAATTGGGCTTTTTTCCTTCTACTATATAGTGTTTCAATATTAAAATATATTAACTGGTTCTGGTTAAAGATACGTAAGGGGTAGTTTCCATATTTTATATGTGTAGAATCTGATTAAACGCTTCCGTACTTTTTTCCAAGGTATCATTATGAAGGATTATTTCAGTTGACCAAATTCTACAGGCATTTTCTATTTTAGATCGTATGACAAGCTCTGAGAATAAATGCAAGTCTTTTGTAGCAGTCTGTTGTTAATATTGTTAAAATTAAAATTTGAAGAAAAACACCATCCTTGGATCTGTGCATTCATTTTTTGTCCTCTTTATTGAGGTATTGTAAATTTTATAATTCATTCTGATGAGGTTATTCTTTCTGGTTGTATTACATTTAGGGATATTGAATAAGAGAGTGTTGACATGACTATGTTCTTCGAAGTTAATCTGCACCATCTGCAGAGGAGATTTGCCTAAACAGCTTCAGATCGTCTGCATATAATAGAAATTTAAAATGTTTAATATAATCACTTATATCATTGATTAAAATGACAAATAGTAGTGGTCCCAAAATCGACCCTTATGGTACACCAGATTTCGCTATGAAGAGTTTTGAATTACTGTCATATTTCTAATCTTTTTTTGTTTTATTTTAAATCAATCATTAACCCTCAAATTAAAGAAAAAGTTTATTCAATAAGTCGCTTTCAGTAGTTACCTCTTATTTGTCCAAATATGAGTACAGAATAGCTTAAATACTAAGGCTGAAACAGGCATATAATAATAATAATAAAAATAAATAATAATAATGAAGATCCAAATGTAACAAAACATACGTAATGAAAGAAAGATACAGAAACTGGCTAATTTATGATATTTTGATTCTGTTTAAATTGATTTAATGAACATAAGAATTGGTCAATTAGTATTTTCATTGAAATCGATGCACATTTTATTTAAGGGAGAATTTATCATGTTTGTTCTGGGAATAGAAAGATAAAATGTCTGCGCATGCATGGTACACATAATTTAATAAATAGTATATAGACTATATAAGAATATTTTTTGCAAATCCTTAAATAGAGAATAATTATTAAATAATATCCTTCCCTTTTAAAATTTTCTAATAATTGTTTTTCTTTCTTTTCAGCGAATATCCGTCAAAAAATTTAAATCGCCGCAAATATTTCGAGTTATTCGGTAGCACGATATCAATGGTTTGAGCTCATGTTCATTTCACCTCTGACAATAAAGATGTTTGTTCTTGGAAAGTATGTCCTGGGATTTACACTTTCCAGGATCAAATAGACAAGGCTGCAGATATTCAACCCAGAGATATATCTACATATCAAAGGGTTGCTATAGAATTGAATATGATACGATGATCATTAATGTCGTCGGGAAAAGAAGATTTTCCGGACGCGGGAATCGGGAAAAGCTACTGGAAATAATGGATATTATGGAAATAAATACTGGACAAAATAATGGGACGGGGAGTATGGAGCAATGAGCAGTCTCAAATGGTGAGTTTTGAATTAAATTGAGCTCTTTTTTTAAACCAATTATTACAAAATATCTTAGTTCTATCGAAATTTTTTATACCCATTAATGCAAGAAAGTCCAATGCCTCTCTTATAAAAATATAGATTAAAATTTAATGTATATTGTAAAAAATGTTAGAATTAACAGGCGACAGACAGAATGCGCTGGGTCCTTTGGGCTTGAAATTTTTAACCATCGATGACCGTCTGAATAATACAAATCCAATTACATAAAAAACTTTATTCAATATAAATGTTAGCGCTTTTAACATGAAATTAAAAAAAAAATCGATAATATAAATATATTGGCAAGATAATAAATAAAAATTTTAATCCAAAAGAAAACTTAAACACAACCAGAAATTATTACACTTGAGTTTGAGCTGATGGGACATCCGCTGTTTATTATTATTTTTTTTTACTTTAAAAATATTTATCCAAGCTTTTAGATTCTTATTTCTAATGGTAAACATTGTAAAATTGCTACAAGAACAAGTTGAAACTGCAATTACAAATGTATAAATAATGAAAATTTAATTTTTTTACAATTTTTTGCAAAAATTTAGCATTTTTAAATGGTTTAGAACCATTGAAAATAAGAGCAGTTTACATTATTTAAAAGAGGAAAATAAATATATCCATCTTTATATTAGTTCAGATTTTTTAAAAATAATTTCACAATATTTTTGAAAGGTTATATTAATTATATCAAGCAATTAAAAAGTAATTATGACTAATTCCTGATTATTAAAAGAAACTCCTCTAAAGGGTAAATTTTAAAACCATATTTTCTAAATTCAAATTTCCCAGCGTTTTAAATTAGATAATTTCACAGATCTCACAATCTGAACACCAATATTATAAACATACCAATAATAAACTCAATAATAATAAATAATTCTGCAGAAGTAAAATTTTAAACGTACTATAAAATGAATGGCAGAAAAATTTCTCTTAATAATTAACAATTTTATTTTAAATCAAACTTAAAATATAATTATCACTGTATTTGATACAGTAAATTAAAGAATCTGTTCTGACGGTCTTTTTAAATACCTAAATATAAATAGACGAACCCAAGTTCCATGAAGTCTTTTTCACAATAAAAAACATTTTTGGTAAACAAGAAAATAAAAGAAGTCTCTATATTGCTTTGGCTCTTTTTTTGGAATGAACTGTTTTTTTGCAAGTATAAATACGAAAATAATACTGAAAATATTATAGTCCAAAGACCCTCATAACAGATAGTAATACCATTAGAAATATGTTAATGATTTTTTAAACTAGTTTTTTGCTTTTTTTGGTCATTTTTACCCTTAATTATAAAGAGAGATAGAAACTCGTTTAATAATAATTATAGGTTTTGATAAATATGTGTCGAAAATTCTTATAATGTACCGGCAAAGCCAATCATTACAATTTTCTACATGCTTCCAGTAACCAATTCTTTCAACTTATTTAGTAGTAAATATTTTATTGAACTACATGAAATAGGGATATTTTTTTGTATTTACGATACCATATAAATTATCTACGGATTTTTCAAATTGACTTACCTATATCAAAATTATGAATGGATGGTACACGAATTATTTTTATCTTTAGTATTTTTTTATTCAAATGTCAATACTTGATGTTATTAAACCAAAAAATGATACAAAATAAGAATTATTTCTGGAAGCATTATACTTACGGGAGGCCTTGATAAATTGACTATAATTATCTTTTATCACATAATTTTAATATGTATGTGGTTCAATTATTATAAAAACATGTATTCCAAATAGCTCACTTCATTCTACCATCTCTTTGAAACAACTTTGAAAAGCAAATCCACGGTTTAATCCAAACAATTAGGACATAATATATTCCGTACATCATCTGGTTTAAAATCATTTGTAAACATCAATAAGTTTATTCCACCTGCAGTTAGAAACTAACTATAACATGTATGTATACTAGATTGTTTACAGTGAGTTTTCTAATAATACATGTGCATGTGACAGAAACTGTCAATAATTGATGCTGGAATAAACCTTATTTAACTTTTAGTTTCAGTTCATTGTTAACAATAGTAGTAGTTGCAAAGAAATTTCCGATGCACGTCATCCATGACAATGCTGCTGTGGATATTTCTTTGAAACTGCAATTACATTTCAGTTTCGTTATTTTAATTAACTAAAACCAACACTGCACACAGAAGTTACCGAAGCTACCAATAGTGCCATTGTGTGACAGATGTCACAGTGTGTTTGTTATTGTTGTCGAATAAAACGACTTAGAACTACGAGATGTAGCTAGAAAAAAACCAGCGCAAGCGTGAAGGTCAAACGGAACAAGACATCTTTCTATTTTTATCATTGTAAAGGTTGCGCTCCGCTTGAGTCGTGGCCTTTTTTTGAAGTTGATCTGTCCGTGTTTCGAAGGAAATATCTTCATGTGTTCAAGGAAAGCAACGTGTCAATGTAAAATTCTTTATGAACCTCGGAAAATTCGTCACAAAAAAGTATTCTTTAATAAAAGAATTATATATGGAGATGAGTGTTTATCACGCCTTCAGGTTTTTGAATAATCAACGAAGGGCGAGAAGTGATTGCAGACGATTCGCGTCCTGGACGATCTTGCATCTCCAAAACAAACATAAACATTGAAAAGATCAGAAGAAATATCAGAAAGTATTTGAACTACTGCTGAATCCGTAGGAAAACAGAGCGTTAGGCAGATTTAAACAAAACAAAGCTATGATTTCTTCAATAGTACAACAATGTAACCCACAGTACTATTAGTAGTAGTAAGAGAAAGGTACATGCAGAACTTTGTTATCCAGACACTGGGGAAGTACTTAAATCGTTGGTACCGCATAATATAAGTTTGTATATTGAGAAATGACCTACGATTCCTGCATTGTTTGGCCACTTGTAACAAAAGTCACAAACCTGTCTAAATTCCTCATTTTTTTTGTATATTTCTTTCACCTCTTCCTTAAGGTAACATTACTTAAAAACGCAAGATTTCTCAGTGTTGTGTCCTTGTTTTTAAAATAACGAAACTAATTAGTAAGTTTTTAACAATCAGAAACATACACTTGCCGGTTTGAGTATTATGCATCCTAAAACCTTTCGATTAGTTCAAATATGTACATATTTTTTTTAGAAATATGTATTAGTATGGCACTAAGTTACTATAGCTGTGAATATTACACTATATACCCTGTTCAAACAAGTAAAACTAAGTACAAGTTAAATGCAGTTTGCAACTGTCATTTTTAGGAACTATATTAATTATGTAATAAAGTGCAGAAATAATATATAATTATCTAACAAATGCCACCTATATTTTTTAAATGTAATGTATATGCCACCTGGTCCCTATTTTTGAACTAAGTAGTTAAATTAATATATTTGTGCATCTGACAGTTCACAGTATTGAAAAAAATAGGGTTTCTGCATATTTCACATTACAACCGTAGAAAATGGCTTCCATAATTTAATTATTCAAAGTAATTTCAAAAAGAGAACAAATATTTTTATCTTAATGCAATGTAGTTGTAGTGCTGAATAGAATCTTAACATGAGTAACTGATTTCAAGCGATTTTAAATTTTGTTCAGGCCTTATTCTTAATAAATTACTCACCCTTTTGTATAGTCAGTCTAATAGCCATAGCTGACTGAATTTTGTTTGGCGGTTTCAGTTATTTATGTATATTATGTTACCAGAATAGACTTGCCTTAAGAAAACATAGTTATTCGAGATACAGTATTTCTTTTCCAAGATGATGGCTTTAACAAAAGATCATTTTCAACGTCTTTTAAATTTTGACAAATTGCTAATGCCCTTGTTAATAAAAATGAGCCACTTTGAAGGTTTTAGAACACATATTCAACAGACTTTGATGTACTAGAGAAGACTGCATATTAAAAAAACTAAAATTTGCAAACAACACACTTATGAACCTTCTCTAATTCATCACAATCTAGTTCAAGCTTAAAATCGGTTATTTCTATACTTGAGTTACTTCATCTTGTTGCAAAATCCATTGAGCGGCTTTGGTTATGTCCCATGATGTGTTTTCCAAGCCTCTGAAACACATGGGCAAATCGGCGCTGACCACGTTTTGTAATTTGAGAATTTTTATAGCCTTCATTACGTCCCAATCGGATTGATCGAGGGCCAGCAGACATTTTTCTGTGGTTACCTTATCGAAAAACGGTCAATTAGTATTCGAGAAAAAATTATTCTTGGTAATCCAAACTTAATATACAATAATATACATTCTTTATTTACTTTAAAAACTAACAACAAAGTAAATAACATTTAATAGAAATAATTTTAAATCTAATTAATAATAAAAAAACCGGAAACAGACGATAGAAAATGTTGAATTGTGTGATGAGATAATAAATTAAATTTTAAATCTAGATCCATAAAAATCTAAAGTAAACACTATATTGTAATCTAACAAACAAGCTGGTATTCGTTTGTATTACCCATTTACTGTCACAAAATTTGGTTATATTTACTCAAAAAATAATTAAATTATTGAAAATTTAAATGATTTGCTCTTATTTGGATACGCATTACTATAAATAATATACTTACATCTTTTCCTAACACTTTGGACATAATCCTAACCTCGTCGGAATCATTTCCTCTTGTTCTCGAAGGCGGTTTGGAATTTGCGAATTTTAGTAAATCCTCGCAACTCACATGGTGACTGTGAATCTTTTCATCTTCTCCCTTTAAACCTACAAACCCATCCTCGCCTGTGAAAGTGATAACGACATCAAGAGTTTTACATTTTAAGATCAGTAATGATTTCTTTATGACTAAATATTATTTAAGTGGTTGCCTTCTTTTTTTTGAGAAATGAAAGAAATAGTAATCTACCAAAACTTTAAGAGTGTGTAATATCTACTTTTATTAGAACCTGTATTGGACAATTATAATGATGTATGAGATAAATTCATTATTATTCTAATAGGGTCAACAATAAAATCCACCTTCTAATCATTGTTATATAAGATAATATTGTAACAAATATGATTTTTCGACAAATATTTGTTATGGTCACAAAATATAAACATTTTTGTGAGGAATTACCTATCATTTGTTAACTGTATGTACTCACCATCAACAACATCATGTTCTGCTGGTATCTCATCCAATGCATTCAAGTTGGACTCGATCTGCTCCTCGAAATGTTGCGATTCAGGATTTTTAACCATATTGACAACATTGTTGGTGTACACGGGCTCCGATCTTTGGAAAGGATTGATATCATTGGAAGGGGGAGGCGAAACGGTGTTGACTTTATCCAAAGTTCTTTGAAGGCTAGTAGGAGGAATTATAAGGGGATGTTTTCTGGTGTGGCGAGGTTTGGCGGCAAGAAGTGCTTTGTTTTTATCTCTAGGCGGTAAGGGGATGGGGTTTTCGTCCCGGCTGGGAAAATTGTGTACCGAAGAGATAAAAGAATGAGAAGGTGGTCGTTGACGAGGTAATGTAGCGTGAGAAAATTCTAAAATCAAGACATTATCAATTTATAAATTAAATATAGTATATTATTAACTACCTTGTCTGCCGTGAAGGTTGTCTGGAATTGAACTCCTAACCAAACTTCCCATTTTTGGTGGAAGAGTACTGACCAAACTTGAAGATCTACTTCGGGTATTAATTATAGGTTGCCCTGACCTTAAAATTCGTAGAGGATTGGTTACCATCAACTAAAAAAAGCATATATAAGATGAGGTTTGCTCCTTCGTTCCTGATAATGACTTATATTATTTGTATTCCAATGACAGTTAACTTTTAACTGTTAATTAGAACCCAACAGTGAATGGTCGAGTGGGGAATCCTACATTTTGAATTCGACGTTCGAGAAATTGTGTACGACTGGTAGTCAAAACTATCTAATCAATGGTTAATTGTCTGCTGTTCTTGCATTTGCGCACACAAACAAGTATTAGAAATTAAAAATTTTAAAAAACCAACTTCAAAAACGTGCAGATTCCATCACCACATCTTAACCAAATTTATATGGGACCACCCCTGAGGTACCCCCTTACTAACAAAAAAAGAATCATTGAAATCGGACACCGTGTTAAAGAATTATCGCTGAACATACATAAAAAAAAATTGAAACCAATTGAGAACCTCCTTCTTTTTTGAAGTCTGTTAAAAAGAAGATGCATTTTTTTATACACAAAATTTAAAAGTAGTTATTTATTTTTAATACGGAGATATTTTGAGTTAATACTAATTTGATATTTTTAGAAAAAATGTCATCTAAGAACATTGTTACAAATTTAATCATTTTTCTTATTGTATCAAAACAAAACTCTAAAAATCATTGACGTTTATTAACCTGGTTATATTTGGTAAAATTCGCGTAAAATTCATTAAACTTTCTTAATTTTAATAGACGCAAATATCAGAATTAGGCATATTAAAAATTAAACATTTATCTTTACGATACGTACCTGTGAAACGTCATGAGCTGGGCTCTCCACGAGTCCTTCATAAGCCATTTGCGCCTCTTGCGTAACTTTGGACTAAAGGGAAAAATAACCAATAAAGAAAAACTAAATGGAAAGAATGAAAAAATAAAAAAAAAAAAAAGAAAAAAAAGGAAATAATGGGTTAAGGCAAAACATGTGATCGAGGTGAAATGGGATGAGACGGAAACTAGTAAATCGAAATTTTATACTAAGGAGGGAATTGCAATTATTGTTTTTTTATTTTTATAGATTACAGTGTAATTTTTTTTAGTACAAACCGGTAATTTAAATATATTTTTTTACTACGTAGGTTAATAATAGCACTAATAAGTCTTAGTTCAAGTTAACGTGAGATAGATGAAGATTAAAGTGGATTTAAAACATTTCGAGGAAAGTATAACGTCGCTAATACTGCAGTAAGAGCTGTCACGAAAAAATAATTGTTAATAAGTACTACATAAAAATTCCTACATGGATCGTATTGCCGGATATTATAAATTCATTTTTGGTATCGAATACCGACAAAATACATATTGCAATGCACGAAGCACAGTTGCTTGCATATTTACAAACAATAAAGTGCATTGTTGAATTTTTTTTACATAGCACGTCGTCTTGCAGTATCAACAGCCATAGTATCATTTTTTATTGTGGCAACAGTGCAAAGCAGGCGTATTAGTCGTACGTATGTTCACTCAAAACACGTTAGCTCACAAACGTCATTCTCCACTCAATTTAAAAAGACAGCCGAGACAACAGATAGAAACGTCGTTATAAAAAATGTCCAATACAGTTGGACGATATTTAAAACTGTTATTTATCTTAATATAGGTATATTGTCATTCTTTATATGCTTTTCTACGAATTTAATAAATGTCTTCCAGAAAAATATTAACCAGTATTTCATGTTTTATTGCTTTGAGGAAGCAACCTAATTTTTTTGATTGACAAATCACGCCATCCTCCATCTTTATATTATAAGTCATTCAACAACTATTATAAGTTAGGATGAGGATGTTACGGATTTTCTAATATAATGAGCCACTGAAATAATTTTATGGGTTTCTCTTATTCCTAACTAAAAAACAAGTTCAAAAATGAAGTCTATTTGCCGATTGCAATGTTGAAAATGTACCTTGTCATTGTTGTACTGTGAAATACGTTAAAAAATATACTTCTAAATTATTAAAAAAATGTTCAGCCATAGATCCATAGCCACACTACCCACGTTTACTCGGCTACAGCTTTTTACATTTACCATCCACTTTAACCTTCAACTATCGCATCCGAAAAAAATCTTAAAGACTAGAGTCAGAACTGGTCGAATGTGAAGACCTTAGACATCTAGCGGCAGAAGTAGGCGACAATCCACTTAAAATGCTATTGCTAGGCGGAGGTGACCGACCCATCATCTTAGCATTAAAAGTCGGCTTCAAAAACGGATTGGTTGATCTTAACGGTATCTCAGATCGAATGCTGGTGTTCGATCCGGACAACCGACACATCCGCCTGCGTCTGCGCCAATCGAAATCGACCGAACCGACGCTGATGCATTCGCTCTCGCTCGAGCTGGATTCGTACGCTTTGGGATTGTACGATTGGCGACGGCGGTTGCGATCTTTGACGCTGCGTCCGTTCCGCTTCTTGATGGGTTCCTGAGTATCGCTGAAACTGAGAGTCCGCGGTCGCGGCACAAAATCTTGCGTGTCGCCTAAATTTTCAGTCTTGTAATAAACGTAAGAAGTTTCATAGTATTGGGGAGAATGAACGCTTTCCTGGTTAAAGTTCTGATTAGCTTCCAATCGGCGCCGATGGTCCGTATACGTTTTACGCGCCATATTTTCCGATTTGGTCAACGTTCGATCCCTGTATTGAGAGTGAGGACGGTAGTAGCTGTCTTCGAAAGACATATTATGATAACGATTAGCGAAACCGAACTCCTGCGGATATCTGTCGTTATTAAGAGTGTTCAGATTTCTGCAGGAATTGTGCGGGACCCTGGCAGAAGGAAACGGACGGCTTAAAAGTTCGCGAGATTTAGCGAAGTAGAATTCCGCAGACGCCTTGTCCCACAAGGGTAGGCGGAGGGGGTGATTGGGAATTTCGTCGAGGGAGGAGGGTGAACTCATGAATTTCTGATGGGTGATTTTTTTTTTTCGAAAAATAACAAAAAGAAAAACAAGGAAGGAGGTAGGGGAAAGGTGGGGAAGAAAAATTTTTAGTTAGTGTTAGTATGTGACATGTGTAAAACTGGTTTGGACCAGTAAAATAAGGTTTAATTAGACGAAAAAATATATCTATTAGCAACCATAATTTTGTAAAAATGTTAGTCTACTTAAATTTTTATAATTTTTTCTGTGCAGATATCCATATGACAACGGCTACTAAATTAATTTTACACACTAAAGTATTGGTCATTTACTAATTAATTTCCAATGTTTATAAAAAAGTTGATTTCTAGTGTAATCGACATTTTACAGCTTTTTAATTTTATGCATTTTTTCATTTAATTTTTATACAATTTTCGAGTTCAAAAATTTAAGACTCTTGCCCCTTCGCTGCAAAAAATAGATTATTCCGCCCAAGGCTAAAATTATTAAGTTGTTTATATTGTTACTTTGCCATTCATTAATGCGACTTAAATATACACAAATCAACATTTTTAAATAATCAGAAATTATAATATTGTATATGTTTATTCTAAAAACGTCATTATTTATTAATTTCGATTTTTGTTATGATTAAAGGTCTATGCCCACTACACCGGATCATACTATGACGTGACCGTACCGGCATAGGCAGAAAAATATTCTTTGTATAGATTTAAATGAGACAATGCCCACTAGACCGGCCCGGCATCGACCACACCATCCTCATTTGAATCTATACAAAAAAAAAATCAGGTCCGGGCACGGTCATAGTATGGTACGGTATAGTGGGCATAGACCTTTATACTGTTACATTTTTATAAAACATATAAAACTCATTTTCGCGTACCTGCAAATCAGAAGTCGACAGTGCTTCTTCAGAATAGTTTCTTCTTTCATTGTGCTTATCGTGATCATGCACGGAGGGAAATTTAAAACTAAACTTTTTCTTATTCGGCGATGCGGGAGTCGTTGGTGCTGGTGCGGACATTGATCTGAAATTAAGATTTAACCTAACATATTTGCCGCAATTTACATGGCTGAACTGACACCATAAAAAAATTAGTTCTAAAAGTATGTTCACTAACAATGCTTTAACTTTAACAACAAATTAACGTCTTTTAAACAATGGGAATTCTAAAATAAATTAAAAAAGTTTGTCAGACACTATTTTAAAATAGTAATTGATAGGCTACGAGTTTTTCATTTACTGTTGAATCTATTTCAGGCCACTTTGAGACAAGATACCTATTTGGAAATTAATCAAAATTCAGTTTAAACAAAGTATAGGCAGTAACTATTTATTGTAGTGAATTATCGCCCTCCTTATAACTAAAAAAGACAAACTAACCTTATAGATCGGAGAAGTAAACTACCTGTAAGTGAATTTAATATTAAGTTTAAAAAGATGCATTATTGGAGCTGTTTGAATATTAAATTCTTTTCAAACCGTAATTAAGGCTGCAAAAAAGACAAAAGATTGTTTAAAGAGATCTGAGATTGTTCAAAAGGGTGTAATTATTATGATATTTTTGTATTCAACAAACACTTCATATCATATCAAATTTAACACAAAATTAGATCGTTTTGGATTAAAAATTTGTAAGTCAAATAAATAATATTGTAACGAGTTAGCCGTCCAATAAGGCTCCAATGAAAAAACAGGAGAATTAAACTTAAATAATGTTCTGAAATAGATAAAAAGAAGAGTGTTTCAAATAAACATTGTTGATATAAAAATACTTATCAAAAATAAAAAGTAAATACACGTTTAAAAGAACTGTGTGTTACAATATTTTAGAAATTATATGCATATCCTTTCATAACTAATTTAATTGCGTGACCGCTATTGGTCCTCATTTTTTGTCAGTTCGCATTGCTAGCAAACAAAGTTTAATATATTTCCAGTTTCCAAAATTATTATTTAACCTAAATTACCTCGAAGTTATCTCATTAGCAATGGCGATCGCAGTGTCGAGTGTCTTCTGATCGTTCGCCGAAATGGGCTTGACGGTCGCCTGCTTCCTTGGCTTGGAGTTCAATTTCTCCCTAAGTTCATTACTCCTATTGGAACCCTCGTGATCCAAAGAATGGTTTTGGGTACCCAACGAGCTAAACATCATCTCCATTTCGGCCAACAGGGAGGGACCCAGATCTAAACTGGGGCTGTGGATGTTTTCCTCGTCGCTGATTTCGTGGTACTCGTGATCTTGAAGCGGCGCGGGTGCCGGTACCAGATCGCTATCCAAAAGCGGGGCGGCTTCTAAGTCTTTGTGCGGTCGGTAAGGGGCTACGACCTGAGTGGGGAGAGTACCGTACTGAAAATGTTAATAGTTTTATGTTGTTTCAGTTTATTGTACTTTAGAGCCCGATTTTTCCTCAAATAATAAACGTTAAGTAATGTTTCTTAAAAAACAGGAAAATATAGCCGGTTTTCCTTGATTTAAAGGCTTTTAATATAAAAAAAAATCGGGATAAAAATGTAAACCGATCAATAGGAAAACTTACATTTCCTTTAGATCCATCCATCCAGCTGAGATCGCCGAAATAAGCTCCATCTAATCCTACATGACCTGTGTGCTTAAAATCACCCTGTGGAGCACTAATCATTTCGCTGCGCAACTTTCTTCGCGCCGAAGATCTAGTGCTATCCGAACGCAAAAACGAGGAACTCGGAAGATCGCTGCCGAGATAGGCAACCACATTGACGGGGTCAAAAAGACCGGTCTTGCCACTCGCAGTCGCTCCCTTCCATAAAGGTTGATGAGTTCTTTAATGAAGACAATAATTCTGGTTTGTAACGTTAATAAATAAAAACAAATCTCTTACTTACTTCTTATCTAATACGGTTATCACATCTCCTACCCTGTAACTTAACACGTGCGGACCTTCATTTGATGAGATTTTAGCCTGGACTTGTTCAGGTCTGGAATCGGCCAAAATTGGTCCAATATCGGCAAAGCGAGGCCTTGAGGCAGCCTCGTGCCGCCAACAATCCAACATTAGGTTGTAGTGATCCAATGGACAACAGTCTGGCTGTTCCAATCTAATATAATTTTATGTGGGTTAAAAATAACTCAATTTGCCTTTATAATACAAATAAACCGTACCTTTGGAAATTGGGTTCGTCTATTGCCTCTAATATTTGCTGGCCCGTAAGCGCAGCCCATGGTTGAAATCCATAAGAAAACATCTCCCAAAGCGTAACTCCGAACGCCCATACATCGCTTGCCGTAGTAAAACGTAAATAACTAATACATTCTGGGGCGCACCATGCAATGGGCAGTTTCAGGTTTACATTGAAATTCGTCTGGTAATAGTCCTTGCCTTGGCCGAGAGCGCGGCTCAGACCGAAATCTGATATTTTTACTTTATTTTTGGAAAACACGAGAATATTACGGGCAGCTAAATCTCTGAAAAAATGATTATCCGAAGTATAATGGGAACAATCTTTAAGTGAGCTTTATCTATCAATTTCTTTTTTAATTTATTCATGAGTTTTTTCACAACAAAAATGGTTTTATATCTGTGAATAAATTCATTAAGTTTCGTGTCATATATGGTTTACACGCAAATGTTGTAAGCCCCAAAATGAAAATTTTACAGAATAGGCGCTTTCCTTTTACAAATTTACTTAATTAGTTTGACTTACATATGACGTCAGTCAAATATTTTACTAAGTAATTTTATCCCAGAAAATTATAATCAAAAGGAACGGTCTTTTAAGTAAATTACCTTACTTGTATTATTTTGACAGAAGACAGAACCAGAGAGAAGACATATGTCTTATCTCTGGACAGAACTCTATCCTTAAATTTTATTTTGCTACAGGCTACAAGTATAAACAAATTTAACAGATAGAATATGGATAGAGTAAAGAATAAAATAAAAGTCACGATTTTGGTAAATGTATAAATATAATTATCTTTTAGTTTAATAACATTTTTTTATATATTTTAACACCATGATGATATATTTCAGGTGGAGCTGAAGACATTGAGTTATCCTCGATTTGGGTTGCCTCTTCTGTGATCTCTATTTCATTTTGCTCTTCATCCACATTCACTACTTTTAAAACTAAGTTAGAATCTGCAAACATTGGCTTATTTTCCGCGAAGTAATTAATTTTTGCGGAACACTTAAAATAGATTCGTTGGCTAAAATTTAAAAAAATATATAATGCTTATAGTTATTTTTTTTTAAATACATACCTAAATCTTTTAATAAGAAGTCTCCATCGGGATTTAATAAAAATCCTTCCGTACTTCGAAGCAACGCGTATTGGTTCTCCATGCCTCTAACAGGAACTTTTCGTAATAGAAATTTAAATAACACAGATCATAAATAAAAAATAATAACTACGCATAACCTCAATCAACGCCATAACCAACAAAACGACCATAAAAACATTATGATCTGTGACATAAAACATCAACTTGTTTACTCCCCTTGTAACTTAGATAAAAATCTTATTTCTTAGCATGGTCGAGAGGAACCTTATTAGGGGGAAGGGGAGAGTAAAAATTCTTAATTTGCTTTACTTAGTATTTATAAATGGAACGTGCAAAATGTCAAGGTCACATCGATCTAAGTAAGATTTCCTAAGTATTCTGGTAAAAGGAAAGCAACAGATAATGAAAAAATCGTTTCATATGTTGCGTCGTAATAAATTAAATGAACAAAACTTTGTAGGTATTAAATAATAGTAAGTAACTAAAATAAACAACAATTTTTGGGACTTACTACCTTAAATTAACACCTAATGTGGACTTATATTTGCATATTAAGCCGATGGTATACATTTTAATATCAAAACAACAACAAAAATTGTAAATAACTTCATATTTTTTAAATATACCTACAGTTTGTTACCACGTTTTGTTATAAATTTGAGTATATAAGTGAATAATTCCAAGTATTTTCCATAGATGGCGTTAATTGTTTTTGTAATGAACTTAAAAACAATTATTATTTATTATTAAAGTGAAGTAAGTCACAAGTCAGCATAATAGTGAAGGAAGTCCAGAGTTGATTCACTTTTATTGTGACTAATACAAGTAGTAATACGTTGGTAGTACAGTGCGTGACAACTTTTATAAAAAAATATCTAGTTGTGTTTAAATAGCTTATTTTGATGAATACACAAGCTAGTATAAGACTCTGACATTAGTATTAATGCTATAGTCCACAAATTCTTGGTATTGGGACACTCTATCTTCCTAATGATGCAGGATATAGAATAATAAAGAACACTAGTCACTAGTCGACATAATAAAAACTGAAAACATTCTGTTTTTTCACTGCTTCTAAATTTTCACCATACTTATCATCCTTTTAACTTTAACACTATTGGTCTACCAAAAAATGTTACATTGGAACAATGACTAACATATAATTACATATAACCAAAGCAAATAAAATACATTTTAAAATTATAAATCAGCGTACCTATGAATCAGTCTATTCGCCTCCAAATATTGCATGCCGTCACAGACCTGATAAGCAAAATCACATAGGGTGAGAACAGGAAAGCTAGACCTTAAAGATGGTTCCTTAAGGCACTCCAAAAGAGACCGCAGCGGTGCCAATTCCGTTACCAGCATAAGACTACCCTCTATATTCGGTAACACGACTCCAAAAAAACGTACGATGTTCGGGTGGTCGATGTTGTGCATTATAGAAGCCTCTTTTAAAAATTCCACCATGTTGCTCTGCATCCTGTCTCGAGATAGACATTTTATTGCAACCTAAATTAATTTGAACACAATATTATTTCTTTTATTGAGCTGGTTTGCTAATATCACAATATACAAATTTAGAAAATATATATACAGTATGTTCCCCTAGGTTGGAATAATATTGAAATCTTTTTTATTATTAATTTTAGGAAAAAAAGTTATTCTTCATAAAAAGTTCTGCATTATCTAAAACCTAGAATACAGTCATCAAATATCAAATTTTTTCAGTGGTATACGAGGTTTGTCAAAAATATGATTTTTACTCAAGAGTAAAGTACCTTTATTTTTTATATGACTAATAAAATTTGATATCTGATGGTTGTATTTTAGGTTTTAGACCATGCTCGACTTTTTATAAAGAATAACTTTTTTCCCAATATTAATAATAAAAGATTTTCATATGCCGCCAATTTACGTAGACAGTTGGTGGCATATGAAAGCTTTTTTATTATAAAATTATTTATGTTCCACATTGGATAACTGTTTACATGAGAGCAATAAGTAAGCTTCTCTTTTAGCTACATTGAATTAACCCCTTTTTTTGGTTTTATAAATAAAAATTAATACATTTCATAATAAGAAACTTTTGATTGGCATCCACCCTAAAGTTTCAAGCATTAAATTAATGGAAGTATATTTTGAATAAGATATTATTCTCATTGCCCTATTCTGCAGCTTCTGCAGTCGATTTAAATATGCTTTGTGAATGGTAAATATAATAAATAAATAAAGAATTTTAGTGGAGTAAACAGGACTAGATCTCAGAAAGTTTTAGTCAGAAAAGATTACATAAATAACTTTAATAGATAAAATAATAATTATGGTATTTTCATAATATATTTTTACATAATTTTCAATAAAAACAAACACTTTGATAACCAATGATTAAATAGTTTAAATGAACAAATACTTTTCTAATTACAGTGTTATTTAACTTATATTATCAAATATTTAATGTTACACACATAATCAGCAACTCATTAAAAAGTAATCTTAATGATTAATCAGTATAAAGTAGGTACCTACTACTAATTGTACTATTGTTGTCCAAGTTGATAACTGTTTGATGGTTCTAGACAGTTTGGGGTCTGGATATTTTTAATGTCATTTAAAAAACTAAGGCTACTCAATGTATACAATTTAGACAAATCTGTTTACATAAGCATGTATGCATTTAGTTTTTATTAGTTGTAATATAATATAATGAAAATATTAAATCAAGAAAGTGGCATTGATCAATAAAATACACATTCTTTTATGTACTTCCTATTTCTCAATTGAGATAAATAAATAAGGTTTAATAATGGAAAGTTAAATATATTGTATACTTATTAACAGAATGAGAAATGTGTTCACATAATTAAAAAAATATATATGTTAAATAATTAATTATAATTTTATTTTTATCAAGAATTTACTAACTGAATTTTAAACACAACAAATGTTAATTTATAATTCTATTGTTTTAATGTTTATGAATTCTTAGACTGTAATAGGAAAAGAAAGTTTTTTTTTTAAATACTTTTCTTAATTATTGATATGAAACTACCTAGAAGCTGTGTAATAATTTTAATTTGTATTTTTTACTACATTCATAAATATATCAACAATTTTGAATCACAATGATTATTAAATGAAATTATTTTTACTATTTTTTATTTAGTATTAAATAATGAATTGAGGACCTTACTGCAAGTAAGAGGCTACTCAGGAATGTTGCTAAAATAATGTTTTTTGTTATTCAACAAGCTTTTTTACTTTATAAGTTTTTTAACTTTGGTGTGATTTTTCTATGATTAGAATGTTTTATTTTTATTAAAACAAATATTAATTTTTATAAAACTTTTTTTTATTTACCAGAAGTTAACAAAAATGGGTTGTCCCCTTCTTGCAGCAGTATCCCTCAATAAAAGAAAATAATTTTATATTAAATACTTGTGTGTAATAATAATATATTTATCCTCAAAGAGATTATTACTAAAAAAACGTTTAGGTATGATATCTAAGTTTGTTCACCACACATTTAGTCCCAAAACCATTTTGAAGACTCACTCCATGACCAGAACTTAAAATTAGGACTTTTGGATCTCTACTTTCAAATACAACTGAAAAAGATGTATTACCATTTTAAAAAACACTATACCATCTGTTCAAATAAGGAAAAATTTATATCTCTATCGCATTTTATATATTATTACTTACTTGAATTCTTTCCCCTTCATTACACCAAACTCCTTGTTGAACAACTCCAAATTCTCCCATCCCTAACTCCTTGTTAATAGTAATACTTGAGGAAGGTATAATATGTTTACTGGAAACTCTAGGAGCTTTAGACAGAGTCATAGAATCAGTGTTATTTAATAGAGCAACATCATTTACAGTACTCTCCTGTTTTCTATGAGTTAATAATTTTTTAAATTTTGACAAATAATTGTGAGGAAAATGTTTTTCATAGTATTTCCGAAGTCTCCTCATTTCTGGCTTAGACATGCCTATTTCAATAAGATCTCCTTCTGTAGTGAATTTCAGCTGTGAGGGATGAGTAATCTTTAGAGTATTTCTAAAAATAAAACACCTCTTTCAACATGCTGTTCCCATAGGAAAATTACAAATTCAATATTTAATTAAAGATTACTTACTTGAAGCTATTGAAGTACTGCTGAAGTTCTGCTTCTATGAGAAACTCATAGAGGCCTGGGCCCTTCTTAAAGGAGGTATTAACCCCTTCTGTAAACGATTTTATCATTATTAAATTTATTCAAAAATAAAGTGACTCGTTTAACATTCACGTTTATACAACAAGTTAATTGGTATATTTACTAATAAAATATTAAAAGGTTATTACCCATTTCCTAATCTAAAAGGTAGGTACATTCAACAGCTAAATAAAGGAGGGGGATATAAAAACATCGAAACGTGCAGGTCCCCACAGATAAATTAAAAAATACCTGGGAGAATATCCATTGCAACTTTATTGTTTATATAGACATACTAACTAAATTATAAACAAATAAATTCCTAAGTATTGCCCAATATTTTTATCACACTTCCATTTTGTTTATTAACATTTTGACTGACAGTTTTATAACCCAACTCAACTCAAAATGACATACTGTCTACGTTTGTTTGATCACATATAGTTTCTATCTCTAAGATACGTGTTAAACAAAGATAACTAATATGAAACTGAAAAAAAAAGTTGCTGGGCTGTCAGTTCAATTTTTCCAAATAAACAAGCATATGCCTTGAAGAAAAATGTAAGGAAAATTGGTTTTAAAACACATTTTTGCTAAACAGATTCAATTTATAAATATTTTCCAGGCAATATGGCCGCTCGCAAATGACCAGCTTTGAGCAATCTATATAACATATATCGTTAATGACAACATGACAACAGGGTTGCCATATCTAAACTGGGCTGGAACTCTGTGTCATGTTCATGTAGAATTCTACTTATCGCTTTCTACAATGGAATCGATTACTTTCTTTTGGTTTTCCGCTATGTTACACAGAGTGCCACAAAAGAATCTATTGTAGAAAGCGATAAGTAGAATTCTACGTGACACAGAGTTCCAGCCCTGGTAGCCATTTGGATGATGGTCGTTCGAATGCCTAATACTATAACCTTACCTAACAGCTTTTTAATTTGAAATATATGTATGAATGTAATGGGTGCTATGATTGAACGTTTACGTTATCCGTAACGTACATGTTAGGCCGAATTTTAAAAGTAACGAGGCAAGTTCGGATGATGGAAAACTGTTAAATTAGAAGATAACAGGTGGAAAATAACAGTAAAGTGTTGGAAAATGTTTTCCATCATACGAACTTGCCTCATTACTGTTAAAACTCGGTCTAACATGTACGTTACGGATAACATAAACGTTCAATCATAGGACCCAATAGAGGGTATCCAATTCCTGAGAGCAAGACAAGGATACTCTCGCCGTTTTTGCTGGGTAAATTATCCTGTAGGATATAGCCCAAAAAAAAAAGAAGAAGAAGAACCCTACCTAACCTTCTAACCTAAAAAAAAAACGAGTAAAGGAAATATTGAAATATTTATTTGTAGCTTAATCAATAAAATGGTTTTTACTACAGTTATTAATTTTGTACGAGCTCGAGGTCCTGATGAAATTTGGAGAAAGCGAAGAATATTTAAATTAGCCGCAGTAAGCTCTTCAGAAATGAGTATTTCGATTTTCATTTAAATTTGACTTTTTCAGCATTTCATTGGCAGAAGAAGGAACTGTTATAGTATTGCTGTTAGAAATGTCCATAGAGCTTTAGTTTATGCCACAAAAGGTAGGAAACTAAAGAGAGAAGATATGGCCAATGTAAGTTAATTTTTTTTCTGTAAAATTGTTTAAAATTAGTCCCCTTAGAATTGATTTGATTTCAAAAAATCAGATAAAAAGTTTTCTTATTGTAATTCTATGGAGATGGTATTTAAAAAAGTAAATTATTCTGGTAGAATAATTACCTAGTATTGATCCTAATAATAAAATTTACCTTTTACAGTTATGGGAAACTCGAGTAAGAGCTGGTTGTGAACAACACAATATTAGTTATGAATCTTTTAGAGAAGGATTAGCAAGATGTAATATTTTGTTAAACAGAAGAACATTGGCCGATTTGGCTTGTTGGGAACCTTATTCTTTTAAATCTTTAACAGATATAGCAAAACGAAGAACACTAGATGATGGTTTAGCTGGTATAAATGCTGACAAATATCTTGATAGAATTATAACTAGGGGTTCTTTGAATACAGAAAAATGATTTTAATATATTATGTAGGTAGTTTTTAGTTTTAATAAATTGACAATATTTTCAAATGTTGCTATATTATTATCCCCACATTTCAGGTTTGGTTTAGTTCTGTATTTATAAAGATATTTATAAATCCATCTTTTATAGTAGAAGAGTAACAGTGTGTAGAATATATTACAGCTCTGCATGCATTTTTTGGTGCCGCTAATTTTGATTAAATTAAACAAAATTAATTTTTAAATAAGTGAAGAATAACTGCCATACTGTAATATCTGAAAAGTTTTCTACTTATAATTTGTATAATTTCGATAAATATTTAAGAGATGTCGCTAGTGTCCTAATTTGCATCTAAAATAGCAAAATAATGTAAGAATGTAGTTATAAATTTCAAAGAAATTGGAGAATACCTATGAAGTGGATACATACACTATTAGATAGAATGGATATGAAATATATTCGTTCAGTTTTGTAGTCTATAGAATAGCTATAATATCCTTGAGGGAGTAGAACAAATACATTTTCGCCGTTGTAATTGAAATTCATACATTTAAAAAAATTGTGCCTCAATTATTATTATTATATAGGGTGTCCCATTAAGAATAACTGAATAGTCTCTGATTAAACGAAACATGCTTGGTTAAATGTTATTCGTTTCCGATATACAGGGTGTTAAAGTTGAAAATTCAAAAATAATATTAGCAAAAAATCACTTAAATACATTTTGCCAGTGGGCTTCGGCATGGATAAGTAACACCTTATTATATTAGAGTTTTTTTAGATAAATCATGTAGGAGTCCTATAAATTGATTGGTTTTCGAGATATTCGAACTCAAAGATGGATGGAAATTTTAAATCTTTATTGTGTCTTTTTGTTGATTGATCATTTTGGAATTTCTACAGTCTTGGGCTCTCTAAGTGTTTTAGGGGTAGTTGAACGTCGTCCAAACCATTTGGATATTTATTATTTACCTTCCTGTCGACTGATAATTTTTTTCAAAGTCGAAATTCGATTGATAAATTTGTATTTTTCGAATTTTCACTCTCTTTGAGGTCATTATAATTATTTTAGCGGTATAATAAGGTGGGTTTAGGTTCTTCGTGATTAATGATGAATTGGATTTGGCTGGATCTAGAGGGTACTGAATAACACAGGTAATAACTTTGGAAAATAATACAAATCGAGAAACGTAGTATGTATAATAATTGAAGAAAATAAACTAACATTATGTGTCTCTCTCCCCCTACTTGAGGGTTTTTCTAGTAGGTGGCGAATATGTACGGTACTGCACAGGGACGGCTCGAAGAGTATGCGCATTACAGGGATGGTCAAACCTAGAAAGATATGTTTATTGACCAGTTATTCCAAATCGAAATTAGTTTTTTTTCGAATTTTGACCCATTCTAGGGTCATTTGAATGTCAAAACGGGTATAAATAATTTTACAAGACCTTGGATCTTAATTATTGCACTTTCCTGACGATTGATCATTTTTTTCAAGTTGAAATTCGTCCAAGAACTCTTGTTTTCCTATAATTAAAACCTTGAAATTATGTTAAAGGGTGTTTAAAAAACTCTCATGAATGGGTGGTCAAACATATGCCCCTTTTAAAACGTCAATTTTCGAATTTCAGGAGCCAGCTTCACGCAGCTCTTATCTATCTAAAACCAATTAAAACCAAAATATAGACAAACCAGCCAGCCAGAATGTAAACATTTTATATTTTTCGGAAATAATTTTTTTCTAAAACTTTACACGAGATCAGTACTAGAAAGTCAAATTACTCAAAATAAAGAGATAAATGCGAAATGATTTCCACGTTGGAAAAAACTGCTGCATAAAATTATATTGCCGTTCAAAATTAAAAATTCACTCTGTTTTGCGTTTTACGTGGGTCGTAGGTACCTTATCATGTCAAAAACCTCCGTCACATCAGTGATGACAATCGCAAGTGTATCACTGAGTCCACGGCACGCTCTGACGTGCGATACGATAATCACCCGGAGCGCCACTTCGGTAATAGAGGTGGGTTAAATCAAAATCTTTAATTTCTGTTCCAGAAACAGTTGAAGTATGTGCTTTAGACTTGCGATTAGTGTGACGTAATGACAGTTGACTTTTAACAAATAACAAACCATTCTATCAATTGAAATTGACATACAGTACTTATTACTTTTTATTAGGCATAGCCGTGCTTTCACAGTCAATATGTGGCAACTATGATATCCCTGCTATCGCTATGCTCTGTCGTTTTGTGACTGACATTGGGTTCGGCTTATATCCCACCAAAATATCTTCTAATTCTAGTGGACGACTGGCTGTTGATATTATTTGGATCGTAAAGAAGTAGTTTAAACGTAAGAAATAAAAATGTAAATAAATACCTGCATATGGCATCTATTTTTATGTAGTCTACTGTCATTTGTCTTTGGAACACAAATTACGTCATCACTAAAACTGTTTAGTTGGGCCAGAAAAAAAATTCTCTTTGATCAAATTTTGATTAGATTGTGATATTAATTACAAGTTTTTATTGGAGTAAAGACATCTTGGGGTTAAATGCGTATGACGCCAAAAACCCCGTTATACAGTATGTCCTAAAAAGTTTTATACAAATAGGAAAAATGCATCTTACTTTTCACAAAAAAAAACGCGCTTTATAAAAAGTTTTTACATCATTTGTAAATCCATATTCTGGCGTGAAAGTAAAATTTTTAAAATTTCGAATACACACTATATTGGTTTGTGTCTATATCTTTGCAAAACCTCTTCGAACTACATTTAATTTAGTTCTGGAATCCAATGAACTGGAGTGGGGTAGAATGCTTGTCAATAGGCTTGAGATGCGACTCTATGGGCGAAGACAAGTTATTTTTCATCTCACTCGGGAGTATTTATAAAAACCATTTTCTATTTCACTTTGTTATTGTCTGATCCATCAGCTTGTGGATTGAACAATAACCATGTGAAACAGAAAATGGTTATTATAAATACTCCCGAGTAGATGAGAAATAAAAATGGCTGCGCCCATAGAGTCGCATCTTGTTCTATTGATACAAGATGCACATTGGCTTTCTACCCCACTCCAGTTCATTGCTGGAATCCGAACAATTTCTAGATAAGTGGAAATGGTCTAAAATATGATCCATATTTAAAGCAGCAGTTAATAACGATATTTCGAACTATAGACCTGTACAAACTAGTATATGGTTTTAATAACCATATTGTTAACTTATTAAAATCATACTTACATGACAGAACATATTTGTTCAATTTCGTAGCCATAAATCATTTAATTTCGTAATAATAAGTGATGATCCACAGTGAAGCGACCTAGCTCCTTTTACTGTTTTCATTATTCATTAATATTATTGGCGCACATATTAATAGCGAATTTCTATTGTTCGCCGACGACTTAAAAACATTTAAACCAATCACTTGTATTACTCTCCAGATCGATGTAACTAAATACTTTATACAATGGTGTTCTCGTAATCAGCTACCCTTTAATATTGACAAATGCAAATATTTTCACTTTTAAACAAGATCGAGTGCAACCGCTTGTTTTACATCGTAGGGTTTCCATTTTCCGTTAAATTTTTAAAGAAAAGGATTTTCTCGACAAACCCTATTAAATAATGGACAGAGTTCGATTCGGCCACCTCCACCTCTAGCTCCGGTTATCAGAGAGCCGACGGGTGGCGTTTAACAATCGCGCGCGCGGTGCGTGGGTTGGTGTCGTGAGGGGCAGCCGGCGGCGGTGGAGGAGGAGGGGTTTGCCGGGGGCCGCTATAGGGGACGGGCGGTCGGCCATCGAGTGGGCGGCTTCGTAATCAGCAGACTGTGGAGGCCGCCGCAGGGAGCTTTTGGGTCGTGTTGCGTTGCGGGGCGCTCGCTGTAACTACGCCGCGACGCTGGGGTTGACCTGCCGCCACGAGTGCAACGTTTACATTTGAATTTTTTTCTTCAAGCCGATATAAATATTCTTTACATGCTATTGATGACCCCGTGTCCTTATCTTTATAGTACAACAATATTCTCATTTTGTTAATAGTAACATAATAAACCTTCATTTACGATGAAATAGAAATAACATAAACATATTTAGAGTACTTTTGTCCCTCTATAAAAGTCATTTATGTTTAAATACGTACAAATCTGTCCGCATTTAAACACTAACGAATATAAAACATAATCCGGCCCTGTCACATAAAACATTGACAAATTAATTATTTGTCGAACCTCCGCAAACTCCTTACAAGCCAACTTAATTGACACTATGTCGTATCATCATATTGAAACTATTGAAACTAATCTTACATTTGGTAGAAAAAAAGTTGTACATTTCAAATTCTGTTTTAAGACTAATCAAAGTTTGAAATTCAATGTTCTTCAAGTGAATATAATTTGTTAATGTGTTTAAGCCAGCTTGTTTTATTCTAAACGGATTTTTTATGAAGATACATAATATTTTTACATAATGGACATTTTTCCAAATTTTCACTCGTTTTTATGTCTCTCTCTTAATAAAAATTCAGTTCAACGTGTTTAAGCACTACAACTTGAAGATTTCCCTCACAGAGTTCCGTTTTGAGAATGATCTACATTTTTCCACGAAAGTTCTACATATTATTTGAATTAAACAGGACAGAAATAAATTAATGTTCTTATTTTTGAATTTTTTGAGTAATTTGGAAAAGGTGTTTAATAACTTCTGTACACAGTTAAAAAAAGGATCAACTTGGGATTCAGCCTGTATATTAAAAAAATGAAATTTTAAATTATTTTATCTCCCTCCCGTTTTGAACAAGGTGATGTGATTCAGTTAATGTAACTTGTTCAGAACCAGAGATAATAGAGATATAACCATTGATTGGTAAAATATAATATTCACGATGCCAAGATTAATTCGACAATCGATACACTCTATTTGTAGGAACGGGGCGAGAAAACGAAAAGTGAGAAGTAAGAAAGGGATAAAGAGAAAAATTTTACGCAGGTACAACTTATT